AAAAGTTAGCAAAATTAAAAGAAAAATAAGAAAAAATTGTAAACAAATCACATGCAATGTGAGTCAAGACATTTTCTGTTTCGGCAGTTAAATTATTCAAATTCCTAGCCAAAAATTCTTTGTTTTGAGAGTTAAACATTTAAATTTCTATCCAAAATTTACCTAAATAGATCAGCCATTTGCATCCGTTCCACAAGTTAATATTTTTGATGGGGGTCCTGAAAGTGGGTCATAAGTTTTTTGATTCCAAAGAGTTTGTTCAAAATATTTGGGGTAATTTTTTCAATTTTTTTTCAGTTATATTAAAATTTTTCAATACAAGGTTTTTAGAATATCCCTTACTTAATTACCATTTTCAGCTATATACTATTCCAATATAAATAATGAACTAATAATAAGCTTGTGACTAAATTCAGTTTCTACAGGGAATCTCAACAAATCACCAGAAAATTCCGAAGTGGTAAAAAGAAATGGTCTAATCTTTCTGAGAAATGTGATTAAAAATAAAAGTTTTTTTTTTTTTAGGCGTTTGAAAATGCTGGGAAAATCTTGACATCCAATTGTTACAAGTAGTGATTTTATGAAAACAGGACCAAATCGTGAAGATCTCTTCAAAATACAAACAAAAATACACAGATACAGCATTATATTTCATGAAAAAATGAATTTTGGATTTTCGATAGCACTATTGCTCACATTGGATTTTAGCAATTGAAGTTTGACACCTCAATAAAACACAGTCAGACTAAGGGCAGCACATGCAAGTAATTAATTGGTACTTCCTGTGAATTTCAGCTTGAAATCACTTTTGAAGTACAAGCAAATATGAAAGGGGAATACACAATCAGGTACCCAGCAATTTCTCTTTGAGAAAGAACAGTATGAAACTTAAATGTAGGAGAGAGTAGGTCTGTCCTTGACTCAATGCTTCACACAATAACTTATCGTTTTGAAACCATCAGGTTCCAGTGCATGCTGTGAAACTGATTTTGAATAGTTTAATTGAATTTATAAAGAAAATATCAGTGCAATCCCAATTTTGAACACTGTACATAGAACACCTGTTATAAGAGCAGCGACACAAAATGTACTGTAATTCTTGTAAACAATGGAGGTAACACGGTGAACAACTGGTGTTAAACTATGCAATTTGTCACAAATAATTACCATCAGGAATCTGATAGCCATAACAATGCAACATTTACAATGTGAGTTTTTGGTAAAATTTCAGTTGCATAAATGACATGAAAATGTCTTCAGAGTGAGGTAATAGCAATCCTTTTTGTGCTTTTTATGTTACTTAAATCTATAAGATTATACGAACGTAATCTCATTACAAGCATGTACTGCCACTGTTTAAGACATATTCTGTAAGTGTGTTTCTACTCACGGTTTAATTTGATCTTTGTGAAATTCCACAATTATTTCTTTTCGATTTTGAACTTTAAAAGAAATTGGTGCAGGGTAGTACAGATCTTTATTGGTTATGGACCATCCAGAATACTGAAAAAGAAAATTAACAATTTCAAAATTTGTTTTAATAACGCACACTATTATATTACTTTATTTTGAGACAATATGTAGCAAGTCTAGAAGTATGACAATGTTGAGCATGTTTGAATAATTCCATGTAAAAACAAACACACAAAACTTCCACAAAAAACTTATTGTTATGAGAACTATAGTTTTACAAGTATTGACAATTTCATGGATATAAAAGATGCCTGAAATGACTGGTGTTATTCACTCATTCCTTTAGACCAAGTATATGTTATCCCTTAAAAAATATTTAAGTTTCTTCTGGTTAGGAAGATTGTTAATAACTACCAGCTAATGAAATCAGTGAAATATTAATGCAATTTACCAGTTATTTCGTTACATTATTTTTCTCTCTACTGATACATGCTAGTTTTGTGAAAGTTGTGAATTTGTTATATGATCATTTCTCCAAAAGGAAAAATAATACATAAAACTTCAATAGAATTTTATATAATTTTTACTGAAGAAATTTAAAAATGAAAGCTCTAAGTTTGTCCTTCGAATTTTATGAACCCTCTAATACTCTGCACAATACTTCATGCAATTAAATCCTATCTTTGCCATAAATTCTTATTACCTCCCGGTTTACTGTTTCACAATTCTAACATTCTTCCCAAAATTTAAATTTGTTCAGTCAGCAACAGAATGGCAAAGGCTTCTAAAAAGAAGGTGCATTTGTTGCACATTAACTCATTAAAAATTCTTAATTATACAACTGGCCATTCAGTTAATCAAGTGTGTATTTTTTTTCTAAATGCGTTTGTCTTGTCACATGACAGTTAGTTTACGCTAAAAAACCTTGAAAAATTTTCCAAACATTTTCCCAAATTTCTTGAATTTTAGTCCCCTGGCTACTATTCTCCTAGAGAAATTGTAGGGTGATTATCGCTATTTCTGGGCATGCCACCTGCTATGGTCTGCAACTGTTCCCACCCACACCGTCCACATCCAGAGAGCCCAGAACGTAAAGGCAACCCTGCGTTTCGCCTCTGATGTAGTCAGTGCTGCAGAGCCACTCCTACTGATGTAGAGGAATTGTCTCCAGGCATGCCTCTTGTCTTTTTGGGCACCCACATCTACCACATTGAGAAACATTTGCCAGAGACCTATTACTCAATGCCATGAGAAGTTTGATAAATGAAACAATTCCTTCAGTTATTACCCGTTATGTCCCCGACCTGTAATGTAATGGCCCGAAGTCCTGCAATTTCTACTCTAGTTACCAAGTTTGGACCTGCGGCCAATAATTCTGAACCATTAGTTTTTAACATAAAAGAACATAATTTTAAAAAAATTAAAAAACAAAAAACATTACGTGAATGTTTTTTATTAAGAATATTTAATTATTTAAATTTTCCTACGTAAAGGCCATAATATGTACATGAATTTTAAGGGTAATAAAGTAATGTAGTTTATATGACTCAGTTCAGAAATAAAATAAAAATGAAAACACTGTCAAAAATAGTCAACGCTGAATGAAATGCAAACCTTCCTAAACCAGACATTTTTCCGTTCCAAGCAAGTCTGGCTTAGACCTATTTTACTGTAAATGAAAAAAATTTTCTAAACAATTCTACCACGCTCTCCCTAGATACAATTCTAGATACACTTTAAAAGAGAAATAATCCCGACATGAAGCCATATCAATCTCAAATTGTTTTCACATACTTACGGTGGATGTGTTTTTGTACAATTTCTGGCCATTCTGTTCAAATGGGATGTATTTTTGCAACAATGCTTTTCCATCAATTTTCCAAATTGGTGGATCACCACCATTTTGAAAATCAGTCTTCAACACCACATATGCACCAGACTAAAATGAACAAACAATTACAAACTGAACTTCAATAGTTATGACAATAATTAATAATACTGAAAAATCTACATAGACTACAATCAATAATCTTTTTAGTAATAAAGGCAATATTGGCTAATTAGTAGTATTTATAATTTTGGGTATAAGGAAATTTACATGAATACATGTGCTTATATGATTTGTTCAAACCCATCAACAATTTTTATACCAGGTTCTTACTAAAATTGATCTCCACTGCAGATTTCACTCTGAAATACTGCCCACCAGACAAATGAGCAGTGCCAGGTGCTGTTGTTAATGCTTCAAAGTGTCAGTTCAGTGTGTTAATATAGAAGATGGGGTAGTTTTTACTAAAATTTTATGTTCTGATTTTTTCATTAAAAATAATATTATAATAATCAATACAAATCATGTGGCAAAGCACAAAAGAATATGTATTCATGTGAAATAAATTCTACATCTGATGTGAACACAGGCCATAAATACAATCTTAATGAGGCAGCACAGTTTACTCTCATGATATTAAATCATGTAGTAGACAATATGAAGTGTACTTTTCTTGCATTATAGCTACATAAATACATTGATTTCATGTAAACATTTACGAGTTTGCACAATAACTAAATAAGCAAGAGTATCACAGCTCCAGCACAAGTTAGCCATCATCTGTGGAATTAAATCATTTCTACACATTTCCAACCACGCTCTCCAAATTTTGTTTATCACAAATGAGTGTCAAGATAACCAATCACATGTCTGAGGACGGAGTATACATCACGATGCCCAAGAGAAAGAAGTTGATCTGAATAATATTTCTCTCTACTTGACAGTTGGGATAAGGGTAGAGCGCTGTTTCCACTTCCTCAGACGGCAGACACAGGGTCCTGTGGTTGTTCTTGCACCAGATCAAATCAGATCAGTACCATTATTTGGTTCTATAGGTCACAATAAGAGCACTCAACAGCAGACAACATGTAACTGCACACACTATGCAGAAGCAATGGGGCTCTTCAGTTTACAGTTGCTTCGCACTGCAAGATTTCATTTTTTTGCCTAAAAAGTATTGGCAGTGATGACCACAGAATTGATTGGATAACAGACAGATTGGATAACAAAACCCCCTCTACCCAGTCAGCCGCTAGCTGTCAAATTGACAGAAATATTATCCGAACAATACTAAAATATCATGTGAGGAAAATTCGTATCTCAGACCCTTCAGCAAAATTTCAAGTTTACTGGCCTTGCTTTACAACTCACATGTATATTCTAATTACGTTTATATGCATCAATTCATAATCATACACTAACTACAAATAAAGAATAGGTTTTTTTTCCAAACACACAGTTCTCAAAATGTATGGCCCTGGAACTCTTTCAAGTAAGCCTTCTTTTGGCGCAACTTTGCATTCACTATTTTCATTTCTTACTGTGATCTTCACATTGTCACAGAACCCTCCACATACAATTAGAACTGTTACGAACACTAGCCATGTGACAGGAAAGATTATAAAAAATGTCATGCTTTATTTAGGTTTGTTTCAAAGTTAAGGAACCAAATTATGAAACCCCTTTTTCTGCTTTGAAACTATTTGAACTATTTAAAGTTACTTTAGTTAAAGTTAAAGCTATTTTTAATTTCAAAAGTCTTGCACAAATTAATTTCAAATGTAAGGCAATAAATTGCAAAATATATTAGGTTACAGACTTAATGATTTCCTACCTTCTCTTCCTGTTGTAAATTTCATCAACAAGTTTGCAATTATCACACATTAAAAACATACTCGTATAAAATGCACAAAATGTGCCGAACGTCCTTGTTTACTACAGTAAGCAGGGAGCTATAAGAGGGACCAGCTTTGCCAAAGACTATTAGGCTTAAGACACTTTTTTTTTTTTTTTTATTGGCATTTGTAAGACTAATTCAAGATATTAACTTCAAAATGCTCCTGGAAAACATTTAGAACACAAAAAACAATTTTTTTAAAATTTTTTTTCTCTCCCCTTTTTAATTGTTGATCTATGAGCAAAACAATTTTGAAGAGTATAAATTTATTTATTTATTAAATAATGGTAAGAGTAAAACAAGCTGATATCCATATATTCCACAATTAGTGAATCAAATCAGTTACATTTTTATTGAAATTTTGGGAATACCAAATTAGTATCAAACTGTAAAATAATTTTTTTTTCTTTTTCAAAAACCTTAGGTTTGTCAAATCAATGTAATACAGTCCTACATTTGAATTGAATTAATGCATTATTTTACTTGGCAAGATTTGGGCCATCAGGCCCGCTCTTCCGTCTGACTACACAAACTTCGCTACACTCCCCTCACAAACTAGCGGAGAGAGGTGGTATTTCTTGAGCGAGAAACAGGCTTATACTTTTTAACTTATTGTATTAAAGCTTGTAATTTCCTGTAATTAAAATATATATAACAAGTTTTTAAAGTTACAAACATTCTTATTTCTTCCTTCTCTGAAATAAAAGTTAGCAATTTCAATTTTGTATTTAGGTGAGTTTCGAATTACCGAAGTTCACAATAGCAAGACTACTGTATAAATAAAAACTTTTTAGAACTTACAGAAAATTCCTTCTGAACGGGTGATGTGGTTGAAGTTGCTTCACAACTTACTACAGGTTCTTTAGATTCTTTAGGTTCCTTAGGTTCTTTTGGCTCAATATTTTTCTTCGGGGGTCTTCCACGACCACCTGGTGACCTGCCTTTCGGTCGTTTTTTTTTGCTATCTTCTTCTTCAGAATCTATTTCTTCAGACTCTTCTTCACTACTACTGCTAGGATCCACTAGCCGGGGTTTCTTTGAGTTGCTGCTTCGAAGGCGGCGAGTCTGCTTGCGATTGGATTTCTAAACATAAATGCAAAATAATAGAGGTTTTCAACATCAGTTTGGTGAGTGTTTTGTGCAGAATTACATTTTGTGAAAAAAAGTTATAAGTTAGATGCAATTCCTCAATCATGGACTCCTCTATGGTCCCTGCATTTGACAACATGCAACACCATAGTGGATTATTAATGAATTTTATTATAGAATGAGAGTGAATGGCTCTCTGCAAAGATGGACTAATAGAGAAACAAAAACCCCAAGAAAAGCTCCCACAAATCCTCTTTGACCTCAACAAATATACAAAATGAACAGGATTAAAGCAGTAAACACATAGTAACATAAACAGATAATATGCAAAATGTTTTGTGATTAAATTTAGTAGGGGAAACCAGAGCTGGTTGGCACTAGTTGGTAGTGATTTTTTTTTCAATGTAACTTCAGTTTAGTTTTGTGCAATGTAACTCCAGTTATATCATTTAAAAAAACATCTATGGATACCTTATAGTCTTTTTTTTACCGTTTGAAAATTTGACTGTCAAACTTCCAGACTCATTAGATGTCATGAAGTCAAGGAAATCCACCAACTCCATTTGTTGTATCAAAATCAAATAAATCATTTGCAACTTTGTCTGAATTTCTGTTATTTCTACTTACGTGCTAAGATGTTATACTAGGAGAAGTCAAGATGAAACATAAAATGCTTTAAAAAAGAAATTTTAAAATATTCAAATAACATCAAGTTATGTACATGCATCATATTTCAATGATTTATTTACACACACGTTGGCATTACAATATTGGTGCATGAGAGTCCTTTGGACTGTCAGTGTAGGGGGTAGAATATGATTGACCATTCTCGAGTCAAGTACCTGACCACTAAAAAATTCTGCAATTTTTAAGAGACAACTAATGGGACAAAAACAGATTTTGAAAATAAACCAATACATAATAGATAAAATTTTTTAAATGTCCATTATTTGACAAGGGGTCAATTTAGAGAAAAGTACAGCAATTTCCCATTGAGTTTCACATAATTTTATCATTGTAGCACAATTTTGAGAATTAGAAAATGTTCTTAACTAAGGCCAGTACTGGTGTTTTTATCCTGTGCACATAAAAGTAGTTTGTGGAGAAGACAACACAGTGTGTGGTAGGCACTTATCTAATTTCTTTTGTCGGGCAGTTTTGCCTTGTCTTCTAAGTTGCCATCTACAGCTGCCCAAATTTTTTTTCACATTTTCTCGGTCCCCTAATAGTAGAATTTATATACTTTAAGAATATTAAGAGTATTTTATTATTATTATTATTATTATTATTATTATTATTATTATTATTATTAATATGAATTATAAGAGTAAAAAGATAGTAGCTGTTTTTGAAAAATGTTTCAACGTTTCTGTAAATGCGAAATTTGAAGCTCTTTTACATAGAAAACATTCCAGTTTGGAGAAACTTCCTTAGAAATCACTTAAACCACCGACTCCACATGCAACACTGTATACAAATTGCTGGTAATATAAATATTAAAGTCATGAGAGATATTTCCGAAACAAATTACATTTGTGTAATTTTTTAATAAAACTTTTGAGTTTTCGAGAAACTTTATAAGACATCATTTGAATCACATGTACTTAAATGCAATAATGTAGTATACAAATTGCTAGTAATGTAAATATTAACAATGTGAGAGTGATATCAATAAATTATAATTTGGTAATTTTGGAAGGCAAAATGGTGTTTATACCATTTGTTACAGTACATCTAGCACTTACCCTATCTTAACCTACCTATTTCACTATTCTTACAAGAAATTTAAAAAAATTTGGAGGATTTTTAGAAAATTTTGAAAATTTCCTAGGGTTTTCGTATAAAGAACCTGCAACAATTGATGAATGTTACTGAAAATCACAAGAGCTTCAAGTAGGGACAGATTGACTGGGGAGTATTCAGTTAGGAAAAAATTCTTATGTTGTTCATAGACAATGGATGTTTTTGAGAGGAAGAAAAAGAAAAAAGGTATTTCCATTGAAATCTCGACATTGATTTTCCACATAATTTCCTCTATACTAAGTATATTGAGCCATAAATGCATGCATGCAGGAAAGTACACACTGATGTGAAAATGAAGAACTTAAAGGTTTCAACTACGAGAAAGAAACAAACAAAAATTTTCCTTTCAAGCATTACAGAAGATAACCAATGAATCAAAAAGTGTTACTCTCCAAGCTCTAAAACGCTTAAGATCACAGTTCCATCAGCAGTAAACCACACTGTCTGAAGGAAGTTCAGTAGGTTGTTAAAGACACGACACAAGGCTTGGGCTTATGCAAACTACATGGGCAATGTAATTGCACTCTGAGTGTCAACCAGTCCTGATGTCCTCTGCCCACCCAACCCCTCATGGTGAAAATTGACATTCTTTTAATGTCCCTAACTGAATATGAATTTAATGAATATAATACAAATTATTGATGATTACACAGATAAACATTTTAGTTTTGTAACAATGCTTCTAGTGTAGATAGGCAATGTGAAATATCTCTACTGAATATCTACAAATCTGAAGATCTTTTGTAGCATGCAAGGATTTTACAAAATTTGTATTGAAGAATTGACCTATAATCTCACTTCGAACTTTAGGAAATTAACATTAGAATCAATGTTAAAATAAATCCAAACTCTTTGTTAGTTCATTTGTCAACTTATAGTATTAAATCTGACCTCAAGTCTATCTTATGGATTTCCGAGTCTCAAACACTATTCATTACGCTGTAGCAGCATGACTTTCGTGGGCTGTCTGATAAAATACGTCACTGCATTATTCATCTTCAGACCAGCACCAATAAGCTACGGTTTATAGTGGTATATATATTTTAATGGTTTTCCACCCATCTCGATAATGCCTTTCTGTATCTTTCTAATGACCAAATGCAAATGCTCGTTGTTCTTCTCAAATTTTTTCACAAAGAAGGTGAGAAGGGCATACAGGAGATGGAGCTTGATGCTCATATTACAACCTAAATTTTTCATAGCTATCATAATGCCTTCCACAATGTTTCTGAAATAAGGATTTTTCTGATTTCTGAGAAAGTTCATCATATTAGGCAATCCTCCTAAACCAGTCTTCCCTCACAGGTCTTCTGATTCTCAAAGCATTTGTCTGCCATTAAGTTCCTGAACCGTGGTTTCACAAAGAATTTTTAAACTTATTATTAGCCAGAAACGAGCATTTTAAGAATGGAATATTTAAACTGAACACCATCTTTGTTAAATCTCTCAATGAACTACTTCATGATCCTCGGTTTAATAACACAAGGTGGCTGAATGATAAAATCTGGATAAACAATCGACAAACTTCGAATGTTTGTGATATGCCCCACAACTTGTATCATAAAAATAGCAATAATTCACTTTGTTTATTTTCTTTTGCCTCAAGAAATCCAAAAGGTGAAGTCTGCTTACCCTGTATCCATTTTCTTAAACCTTTACTTCTTTTCCCAAAAGTAAAGAAGTTATGTTCTTTCTTCTGTTTTTCAAAGAAAATGAGCCGCAAATGAAACAAAAATTTTGGATTACATCAATACCGTTGTCTTGAGCTTGTAATTTTTGTAGATTAAAAATGCACTTATATGCCAAATTCTCACTTGCAAAAATTACAACTGAAACGAACACTGTTTTAGTGTTGCCTTATGAACATTGATATCAAGAAATATTCATCTCTTCACAACTGATGATTCAATTTCTCTTGTGTCTTGTAATAACAATCCTTTGTGCTACAGATCTATTTACTAGTTTTGTGCTACAACTCGAAATTCACTAATAGGATGAAAGAACCCATATTTGTGAATTTCACTCCGGATTTCATCAATTGACTCTAAAGATATCTGCTGGATGACAAAATTTCCCACAGAACTCTTTGAGCATGTAAGACTCTTGGAACATTTTTGAGGAAATAAATTAACACAACAAAAATTTGAAATACTTATAGTGGACATCCTGTTTCTATGAGTCTTCCTTTCTATCAGATATAGTTATATCTGTGCAAATATTTCCATTCAAACCAGTCTCTTGAATTGTCAAGTTGAGCAAAGTAGTCAACAGTGGTTTTTGAGTCAATGTAATTTTAGTGTAAAATGTGTAGCTTACAGGTTGAGGAAAAATATGTCGTTAAATGATACTGCTAATGATGTTTGTGTGTGTGTGTGTAATTTTAATTCAATTGTTCAGATGATGAAAATCAGTATTTTTAGTGAAATAAATTAAAAAAAACAAAATTTTCCTGGTAAAACCTAAAACACTCATTGAGTTGAGCTTCTTTTAAAAAGTCCATTGTTCTCTTCAACCCTGACAATGGCATTCAAGAGCAGCCAAACCTGCTCTAGGGCACACAACCACATACCTCAAAGTTGTGGACCCAGACCTCAACATTGTCTCAGAGGCCTGGGATGCCAAACAAGCACAAAAGCTGTTGGCTGTCACATGAAAAATACTAAAGAAGAGTTTCACACAATTAAAGAAAATGTGGGTGTTAGAGCGATTGTAATATTAAGAGTTTTAAGAAATTTTTCAAAAACATCCATTTTTATGTTAATAATGGTATTACCCCAATGGTATTACTTTGCATCATAAGAGTAAGTTAGTATACACAGGACATTCCAATATCCTTTAGTGATAGTGCAATAACCTATCTTTATACTGATGAAAATTTACAACAAACAAAACAACTGGTGGCCAAAAATTCATTTTTGACCAAAATTCCCTTCTTGCACCATCTGTCCTTCATTTCTGGGGCCTAGTTTCCAAATTATTTTAAAATGGTGTCACTACATCCTATACAAGATCTATACCTGGGTTCCACCAGCCTGTCCTTGTTTCCTCTAAGTTTCTACTACAGTTCTTGACCACATCACCCCCATCTCCATACTTAGTTTTTGATATTTAGAAACACTGACTCAACTCAGTTTTATAGATCTTCTCTTGGTCTGACTCAAAAATATCCCTTTCATCTCTCAGATTTCTATGAAATCACATAGTCTATGCATTATTTATTGACTATTTCTGAGCATCAAAGGCAAAACAGAGATAATGCATCACTATTTTTAATGCTTCATATTTAATGCTATATATAATTTTCATGCTTTTTATGTCAAACAAAATTAACATTATGGTCCAGAACATTTATCAGGCAAGGAAAATGCTCCCTGAATATAAAAAAAAACATTCCATTAACCCATTTTATGCCAATTATAGAAATAATCATACAAAGTATTGAATTTTTGTGTGCATCTTCAGTTATTTACAACTACGAGATATGTTGCCTGAAAATGTTTATCTTTAACCAACAATGTCTTACAGCATGCATCATGCGTTGACACACCATTAGCTCTTAGTGGATCTGCGATCATAATGAGTGAATTTTTTTACATCAAAATAACAAAATTGTTTAATCTAATTGATTCAAAAATGTTATTTCTTGAATAACTTTTCATAAAAATGAAAGTTTTATAAAAAAAATGTAAAAATAATTGTAAAAATATGAAAGAATTAGTTTTGGTAGAAATTTTCAAATCATTCTTGATGAAGATGCTTCTCACATTTTATACAGAGAAAAACTTATTTACACACTCTGCGTCTTCTCCAGGCATTTAGTTCATGTTTCCTAATAAGAAATAAGGTCAATGTTACCAGCCTGATTTAAGGGAATGATACTGGTTTTGCCAATTTTCCGTATTTTGGACTGATTCTGAAAGAAGAAATTTTATCACTTTGCAGTAAAGCGTGAGCTATACACGACCTGAAATCAATTTGTGAAATTTTCTCTTCAGATACCAAACAATGAATTTTCCATGCATTTACAACAGAGTTGTCAATGGCACTGAAACAGTGGCCCCGACCATCCCCCCCCCCCTTATGATTCGAACTGTAACAAACAACCTGTACTCCCTGCCAGACAAAATTTTAAAACCAAAACAAGCAGCCTTACCCCTTCATAAATATCTCTGCAGAGAGTCATTCAAAGTATGGAACCATTTGTTTGTTGATGGTCAAATGATATGAAAAACTCCGTAATGCATAGTTTTTCTTCGTAAGATTGAATGAACGTCTCAACTTGCTGACCCTATCATTTAAATTCAAATTATTGTTATCTGCACAATGGATATTTCTTTTAATTGCCCTAAATCTGCTGCTCTGGCTCTGCAAAGCACTTTAATTCATACATACACTGACATTAAAATCAGGCTGATTACATTGTTGAGCAAATCTTATACTCTCTTCTCGTAGTAGTTTCCTAATGTTGTAGTCCACAAACATATCAAAGATTTGCAAGATGGTGGCGTACAGCCAGCAAGCTTCTCTCATCATTCAAATCGCTTCTTTTTCTTCTTCTACAGATTCAAGTGTTATCGTATAGCATGGTTGATATTTTTTTCCATTCAGGCGTCTCAAAAAAATACCTTCGTTTCTTGAGTGGTGTACTTTCTGGTACTGAGAGTTTTCAGATGATCAATTTTGAAAACCTGCCAAAATGTCCTGTAGTTTGTCAACATGAAGTTCTAACACACCAGTAATGTCACTTGGCAAAACTTCATCTACTGTTTTTCCACATGTAAGGTCACCTTCTATATTCTCTTCATCAATCAAATCATCATCATGGGGAATCATAACAACAACTGCACATTCCACATCAATAGTCTCGATCACTGCAGTTATTTCTTCAGTTGTCAAACCATGATAACTAAACATCTGCAATAAGATAAATTTTATAATATGCGTGACTTATCTGTTTGTTAAAATAAATTATTTCCAGAATTTTTTTATATGAACATTATCACATGAATGCTGAAAGATCCGATTAATAATTTATTTGTGAAATTAAATGTTTATGAATTTAAGATAAAGTTATAATGGATTAAAATCAATTTAATTTAATAAATTGTCTTCTGCAATCGCACACACTGCCCAGCAATTCCATCTCCACTGACAAAGATTTCCAATCACAATAAGTAGACATGAGACTGCATTTGCACCTACCAAGAAACTGAACCTCTCAACTGTTGAATCAAAAATATTCTCACGTGTCATTAGAAATAGTTTTCTAAGAATGATCAGATCCCACTTCAGATGTGACTCACGCTCCCCTCACTAGAAGTGCATTTGTTTTCATAACATTTCAGCAGCAAACACTCAAAGGGTTGGGCAGTAAAGATATCTCGAGATACATTGGTATGGGCCAATTTACGCACCATGGTTAGAGAAAAACAATTTAAGTGCTTGGAATTCCACAACAGTCACACATCCACGGGGTTGAACCTATTTGTGTGATCTGAAGGGCCCCTTTGCAATTTGGCAACCACAGTGGCAATATTTTCAGTTGATTTCTTTGCCCGATCTATTCTTATATGATATGAAGTTATCCGAGATTTATTCCTGCACTTATTGTATTCCCTCATCTATAAAAAAATAAAAGACTGTTGTTACATCTGGTAATCGGTCATCCAGTCTCTTCTGAAGGTTTATAGGCGAAGTGCATGTCACTGAAGTATTTCCTTTTTTTAAAACTATAATTCCATTCCATTCTAATAAACTATCAAGTACTAGCATTATTGCAATTATTGTAAAAATCATAAATAAAGAATGAAGACATTTAAATGTCATGATGTTAAAGGAAATTATAATGACTCATCTTAAAATCGGTTAAAAAAATTTCATTATTGATAAATAATTAATTTTTCATGAGAGGTGGTACCAAGTTTGTAATCATTAATGTGCACATAATAGTTTTATAGCAACATGAAATAGACAACATTTTGATACATTTTAGCTGTATGTCTATTAGAATAACGGGTCGTGTAATACTCTATGAACACCTAAGTAAACTGCAAGTGGCAATTGAATAAGATAAATATAAATATCAGCCATCTCCCTCACACAGAGTATTTTCATACTTAAACACTTGTCATTCTGAATTGCTACTCACAATAAACAATTAACAAATCTCCTTTATTATTTTTTTTTCCTTTATGAGTATTTACTCCGCCACACAGGACAATGCTTCATAAAATATCTTAATTCAGTTCTATGCAGGTCATGATGAATGCAACTCACTAAACAATTACTGGTCTGAATTCACTTGCAGTTAACCCAGATGAGCTTATTTCAGTCACATTACATGTGACATGGGGTTGGTTTTGCCCCTGTGAGTTATTGTATAATATACACACACACATTTTAAAACCAAATGTTTAATAGAAGTACGGATGTAATACCAAAAATGTCAAGTGAAGAAAATGTAATATAATAACACAAATTGAAAACCTTGTATTTTAAAATACAACATTTCTACGAGCATTTCCTGTAAAATGTATCCGATTTCTGCCACCAGATTGTATAAACCTACCTGCAGAAATAATAAATATTTACCTGTGATTCAGAATTATTTTTCTACAATTAAAAGGGTTGCAACTGACATCTTCAAAAATAAGTTAATACACATAAATTGCCACAAAGAAAACTTGCAAAACCCTTTAAAGTCAAAAACTACTTTCAAGCAAAGTAGCAGCAAGTCTGCTAGCTCTGATGGAATTTTTGACTGATGTTGAACAAAACATTTTTGCAGTAGCTTAACTGTAAGTTTTTCTGTCACTATAGCTTACTAATAATAGCTAATTCGAGGAACCCATCACTTCTGCATAGTACTACTTGCATTCAGGCAAAATACAAAGGATATAACCAAGGGTGTGTCAGTCACTATGAAGATTAAGGAAGTTATGAATGCCCAGAAAATAAAAGTTTTCACTATGTGAGTGTAATGTACTTATTCAGTGCTGTAGCACTCTTCAAAAATAACCGCTAAAAGTTTGACATCTTGTGTTCATCATGAAGATTACAACTACTTGGCATAGACAACATCAACGTAAGAACCAAGGCAACAAACTCACCAACTTTGAAAGTTACAGTGAATAGGCAAAACAATATTTAACTTAATTCCAAATAAATTTTGAGTTTCTGGTATCCACTTCGAAAAAATTCGCTATAATGTTATTTGATATCCAATTTATTAATATGATACTTTCACATACCCCACTATCACCTCCAGGAGTCCAATCATCTGAAGATTCTTGAAATTCCTCAGGCTCGTCCACGGAGAACTCGTTTTCTGAATCGTCTTCGGTATATCTTTTCTTCATTTTAATCATACATACTAAAATAACAATTTACTGTTGTTAGAAATACACAAGCAAAACACTGTTTAGAGCAGACACTAAAAACAAAAGCGTCATGTTATTTATTTTCACAGTTCTCCACATAATTCTAAACAAACGACGAATGTTCATTCCTGCAAGGCCTATTGTTTCCACTTTCAGTTAAGTAACAAAAACGTATTCAATTTCAAGTGGCGTATTAACTTACATTTGAAATTAATTGAAATTGCAATAGTTCCAGTGTTTGGGAAATGAAAAAAAACTTATATTTTACTTTCGAAAGGAAAAAGCTAGCAAAGAAAGGGTTAAGTATCTTGAAGAACAGCAATGTCTTCCATATCGTTTACAGCTTTTACAAACCGAAAGGACACGAAATATGTACCAGCAAATTAATTTTCTTGAATTTATTCCTTAGGAAAGATACAATACTCACCAAGCTCAAACCTCAGAAGAAAACAGCAACTGTTGACTTCCCAACATACAGCGCCAAACGTATACAATATCACCCTTCACTGTCGCCAACGCCAGGCCAACGCCGGCCGATCCTGCCTTGCCGCCTGCTTCTTCCTCACCAATCACACTCGCGCACACTCGTTACCAAAGAGAAAATATCTCAACATCCAACACCGTTCGCAAACTCCACTTGGCGCCATTATCGCCACCATATACTGTGATATCGCTGACATTTAAAAGGAGTGTCGAATCGATTATAGTCATGTGCGCGCCTATTTTGAATTAGAAGTGTCTCAGATAAATCTTGATCATTGATAAACTATCAGTATGTCATATTGGCGCGATGTACTTCTTTCCCATTCGTTGTTTAACGACTTTTGTGACTTCGATAATATTTGAATAGTGATGATAGGGGGATTTGACACATGCGTGCACAGGGGTTGTGCCCGGCACGCCCATTACATTTGCAAGTTTAACAAAATTAACAATTATCAATTGCAAAATATTGAAACCTCATGTAACACTTAGTATAACGTCTACTTTCGCGGTCGGAGTCAGTATCTGTTTGGCTGTCTTTGTGAGGGGAAGTAGCGTTCTAAGCATAGGTGCTAACATAACACCTGTGATAACATCTCCCGAAGAGACAAGCAGCTAAAAACATACTTAAGTCTCATGAGCTCATTCGAATTATTGATATTTCAACACTGTTTGGCGGTCAGTTTCCGAAGACACTAGGCATTTAGTTCCAATAAAAATGTACTCGGACTCGACTACAAAAAATCTAGTTGTGCCTCAGAATGGCATAGTATTTCTTGAACTAATTAGTTTTCTAATTTCTTCCGCGGCGGCGGCAGCAGAGAAATTACAAAAAATACACATTGAAGATTTTAGTTGTTCCGCTGGTTGTCTCTACCGCTTCCAAACAAGACATTCAATTTAATTATCACTGATTTGGGGAGAAGCAAATAAAGAAGAAGCAAACAACTGGTTGCATAAATTTGACTAAGTGAGAGAAACGTGTGTCTTGTGTGATGTCTACAATAGAAACCGATTCCCTCGGTATTAAAGCTGACAAATGCCATGATGGAGCACGTAGTAAACAACGATCCACCACGTTATCCTTGTATGTAATGCGGACCGCAGTTATAAACATCATACTTGAATGATCGCTAAGTCTGGGAAACCGCGTTGTTTTAAGAATATAAACGTGAATATTTTACCTTGCATATGCTCTCGCCATAAGAAAGCTTGGATCGACAGCTCACAGAGGCAAAGAAGCGTCTTTTAAGCGGCCCAGGCGGCGAGCCAGCGAATGGAGTGCGTCCAGCGGGATGCGGATCAGGCCAACCTGCTTACGACTACCTCCGCCGCAAACGCAAGCAGACACATTGTAACATTCGTCGTATCCAGCTGGGGATAAACTTGTGCAACATTCAGATTGCTTATTTTATACAACTGTTGATTGTGTTTCAACTGATTAATGGCTCATTAATAACTAATATGTTATTGTCTAACCACATACCAGGCAGTGATAAATTATGATCAGTACGTTGCATTTACAATTTACTTTGAATTGTCTTTTTTAGTGCAGTAAGCCCTAAGCATCATTCCCGATACTTCTGTTTACAAGCAAATTGCAATATTGAACATTATAAACAATTTTTTACAGAATTTTGTTTGATTCCAGTTAGTTTATATCTTACTTTGTTATGGACTAGAAAAATGGTTTAATGTAGTACTGAGGCAGTGAAATTAAAAATTTAGATTGGCTGTTGAAATATTAAACACTCGACGATGTAATGTCTTATAAAATATTACCATTGTAATTAACAGGACAATGTGTGAATATTCAGTTTTTTCTTCACCTTTGCGGAATGAAATATATATATATATTCCGTTGAAAATGTTTTTGAAATATCTGCAGTACTTCTTCCTACGCTAATAATTATATTACTTTGCATCTCCAGGCCTCCAACAAAGAGAGCAGTAGATTATATTAAATACTTAAAACTCTCGAGATAACACTAAACAAAGTCAGCAATCGCTCTTCTGAATCCATTGTTGTATGCGGAGATTTCAACATCTATTATCTGGTATAATCTTGCGAGAAAGAGCAGTTTCTCAACTTGATTCATTCCTTCAGTTTAGATATTACAATAAATGTACCTTCACGGATCGCACTAAATTCAAAGAAGGCTATCGATCAAATAATAATTAACAAAACCACTACTCGGACTGAAATTGAAACAAAAGATTTAGAATACAGTGATCACGATGCACAATTTTTACCACTATAAGAAATGCGAATTCAGACATTAAATAATACACTTATGAGTAGAATGTTTACTAAAAGTAAAATAAAATTATTCATCAGTTACTCACTGCAAGAGTCATGGTTTACAATACTGTTGTGTAATGCGACGGCCGCACGCCTCAGATGGCGATGAGTATTTTATAAAATTATATTGTGTATAACGTTGGCACGAAAAGACGCCAGGAAACGCGCAGATTTTCTCTACTTGTAAGCGTTTTTCGGAGCTCGGGGACGTTGTGGAATCCAGCCCTTTTCTCACGGCGCAACCCATATCCGGTGATTCATGTGAAACTACGAGCGCTGGCGTGCCTTTTTTCGGAACTTGAATGACGTTTGAGTTTCGCAGAATTTGTCAAGACGCGGGCGTCTGTCGACGACGTCGCGATAAGTAGGGAGAAACCGCGTGGCGCGCGCCCACCAATCGCAGGAAATTAAGCGGGGGAGGGTCACGTGACTTGCGCAGCCTTCGAGGCGACTCTGAGGAAGCTCCTTCGGGCGTTCTTTATTCTGAGATCTGCACTTCCGCATTCTGCATTCGCATCTTTATTCCGATCCCGACTAGGGACAACCTGGACTAGGTGGACTTGCCGAGGGGGGGCGCCAGCGGATGCCCTGCCTCATCGCCCCATCTCATGCCCACTCTGGGGAGGCTGGCTCGCATCCATCGCAGTGGGCCATAAGCGCCCGGCCGCGAATCGAGCCGCCAATGTCCGGACGATCTCCAGAGCGCCTTGCTGAAGGGCAAAGAGGGGCGAGGGTAGACGCCGCCGCTCACACAACCGGCGTCTTGATCACCGAGAGGACGCCGTCTGCTCCCGACCGCCAGACGCCGGGGTCGCCGCCTTCGTGGGCCGGGACATGGACACTGGACAATGATGAACTCTAGCCAATACAGCCGTTTAAGATAAGATTAGGTTTAAGAGAGTTCATAAGATTAATTTTAGCACCGGGCTTCACCTCGATCGTAAAAAAAGATCATTAAATCATTTTAAAAGAAATGAACTGTGTGTTTGAATGTAGTGGAAGTGTTAGACGACGCATGCCTTCTCCTCGGGAGTCTGCAGACTGAGTAGCCGGGGCAACGCTGGGTCGGACGAAATGCAGGTAGTCAGGTGTGTCGGAGCAGCCACAGCCACACGGAGGGTGTCGTTACAGTATGAATATACATTATAAATATAATATAAATAATATGTTTGTATAAATTATATATTTATTATATACATACTGTAACGACACCCTCTGTGTTGCTGTCCTGACCCGACTCATATGACTACCTGCATTTCGTCCGACCCAGCGTTGCGATGTGTGTGTGTCAAATATGACCAAAGTTTACATAGGTTCATCAAGAGTTAATGTCTTTAAAAATGTAATGTTAATTACATGTGTTTATCCACTGTTGTGACACTGAAGTTGTATGATTTCTTCTTAGGAATGTGATCTCGCGATTTTGCTTTATTTAAACTTCTATAACCTAAACAGTCTGGATTTTTTTTGAAAAAATGCGTCATACCTTGTAGTGAGGAAATAAAAGAGTTGAACATTACTATACGCATTAACCCTTTGCGTTACATTTTCCTTGATGTCCTGAAATTTGATTCACTTTAATTGTTAGTGTTATGACGTCTAGTTAATAAGTGATGTGTAAACGCTGGTTTGAATTTTTTAATTATAAATTTCAATGTTGGGACATTATTGAACAATGTGGCTAGAAATGTTTTCGAAGAGTATTTCAATATCAACCATTTCTTCACATTCCAAAAGTTCTTGAAAACGATGGAATTTGCTAGGCGACATTCCCGCAGCACATTTTTCTTTACATTTACTAGATGTATTCAAAATGCTTGCAAAAGGTGAAATTTACATTGAAGTAGTTTGCGACCGGGAAAAGCATTTCGTAGGGGTAGGTTATAACGCACACTTGCTAAATCAACTGTCATAACATCAGGCTGTGTACTTCCAAAGAAAGCACTTGAAGGCAAAATTTCTTTGAAAAACATTGATACTTTACTGTTTCCAGATTAAGAAAAAAGAATCATAAGGCCAAATGCAAGAGCTCCAACGACACTTGGTGACAGGACAGTAAAAACTATATCGCAGTGTCTGTTCATTGATCCAGAAGCATTAACAAATATTGTTTCAGATTTTAAAATTTCATGTACACCGTTCATAAAAGAAGCACAAATTGACAAAATTATTTCATTTGAGTGTTGTTCAAAGTAAAGTCTTGTACAATTCTAATACAAATAATTTTTGTTACATGATCTGTAGATTAATTCACTACAGATTCCTCCTGAAATGTTATGAAGACTCTCGAAAGTGGTACATGAGGCGCACCTTTCCAGAAAAATTGAGACGAAATGGAACGGCCATTTTCGCAAGCAGCGTATGCGACTTGGTAAAGAACACGTACTTTCACCTCGCCACAAAACAGAAAGTTCAAATTTGTTGCACTGTTATGGAAAACCAGGAGTTTCAATTAAAATGAGACATACACCATTATCTTAAACGTCTCTCACATTATCCAATAAGAAAACGTAATCAAAAAAATTGTGTGTTTATATACCATATGTTTTCAAAATGGTAGAGACTTCGTGTAAAGTACTACCACATCCCCCAAATTTATTTATCGGTTTCAAATCCAATGGGCCTTGACATCAGCTAGATCGACAGAATATGAATTTTTGTGAAACTCCTATTTACGGCTTGGCCTAGCCTCTAAGAGTTCACAGGCGTTTGCCGTAAACGATTTTTCGGCATCAAGCACTCACAAAACGGATTGACTACACGTGTTAGAGGTAATAATTTATTATATAACATCAGGATATATCTACCTCTCTTATCAGGGCCTCGCAATTAGTTTTTGGATTAAAATTAGCCGTTATTCCCACATTACAAAACATTTTCTAAATTGCGGAAGCGGTGGCGAGAAAGTACAAATTACTGAAACTATAGAAAAAGAAATAATATATCACGGTCAAATGAAAATGACTAATTGATTTCTATGAAATTTAATCTCAACGGTTAGCAATTTCAGAATGTTTATCCGTCCGCAATACTAGGCGTGTAATGCATAGTTCTGGGACAGGTCGTTTGAAGTGATTTATATTTGTAAAACAAAGTGTCGAATATTCGTACAAGTGTAGCTAGTAGGTACTTATTCCCCTAACTGTAAACACACACTAAAAACCAAGAAAATGTGAACTTGTAAGAATTCTCAAACTCTCAAACATTACTTTACTTGTGTTGATTTGCAGTATCTTCAAACAAATAATTGATGCACAGTGCGGACGGGCCCGGGTCTATTTTTAGGGGAAATTTTTTATTATTTATGATACTAACACAACTTGTGTTTGCTATATTACACTTCTATAAAAAGGAACAGATAAATGTTTTGCGGGCGGGCCCGCACTCATTTCGTAACGCTACTGGCACAAATAGTTCATGCGATCTTCTCAGATAAGAAACAATTAAGTTTTTACTCCAAATTTATTATAAAAATGGCACAGCTTTATTACAATATATACATTTCAGACAATTATAAAAATTAACAAAATCAACAGAAGCTAAAATAATATTTTTTGTATAACATAGCACATAATTCTATACTTTTCAGGCATAGGATTTAATATGAATACATTATTTAATGAACTTTCTTTTACCCATTACAATTAATTTACAAAAGAAATTTTAAGTAATAGATGAGAATTCCTGAAGAATAAGCTGCAAATCCAAATTTCCGAAGTCTATATTTTGTCTTGTATCATTCACAACACTGCGAACCTGAAAATAAAAGTTTTACTAATTAATTTTCAGTTAATAAACCATCAATTATAAGTATCGGGATTAAATGAAAACCTTTACAGACTAAAGTTCAAAATGTGGCGTGAAAGCCGACCTTCTAAAAGCCTTCACACTGAAGTTTTTATACTACAACATATTCGAAGGCTCGAAGAGATCTTTCAAAACTCAGACGGTTAGCAGCACCGCAGAACCTTCCAACCGCCATCCGCGAAAGCAAATCACCACTCCAACCACGAGTGAAAACAATTTTTCTGTATTAGATTATCACAATGAGTTTCCTTGCCTGCCCAATGCTCACTACCCCCTCCTATCATCGACACGTCCATCAACAAACCAGTGCAAACAGGCTAACATGAGCAAAGAAACCAACACAAGTAGATTTGCGCCGCCTGGTCCACCAGTAAACAAGGACATTCCCACAGAGCCCATCAAACAGGTACTAATTAGAAGTCATTGGTGACTAATCTCCCTGTTCAGAGGGAAACTCCCATCCAATGTCTCTTTAAAGGGTGTGTTTAAATCCAACGGGAGGTTTGCCGACGAGCCCAGTGAGTTGGACACTCACACAAAGTCATTTAACGAGATAGTCATCACCATAGCAGGGCAGAATGACATCAATGTGGGTGGTAACTTAATACTTGAGAAATATGACAAACTTCAAAGTGCCGCCCAAAACGCGAACACAGTAGTTTCGACTCAGCACTTGTGGTCCAACAAATCAACACTGCAAAGAAATTAGAAACGCAAACAATCAATGGAAACTGCACCAGAGGCATACTGAGCTAAAGCTTCTCTCTGGCGGTTTCTTCGTCAGCAATGGCCTTCATCTGACACTAGTCGAAAAACATACACTCGAAAGCGAACTTGAAAACACATCCTTTCCCAACCTCGGCAGTGTGAGACCCATCACCACCCCAATCTATTCTCTTCCATCCTGCGAGACCCTTCTCAATCCAATTATACTTCGATTAAAACAATAAGAGCGTTGACACTTGACTACTTGTGATGCTGTCATCTAATCGAGAGCTTATGAACGTCACTATGACGTTCAAGCTCCCGATTGGATGACAGCGTCACATCTGACCAAATGTCAACAGACGTAATGTTCAATCGAAGTATACCTTATTCTCTGAACCTAATACTTGTACAACAAATCTGTATAAGCCGGGATCGATCGGGACACAAAAAAGCAAGTTTTATGCAAGGTTGTCCATTTTATGACACTTGTGATATTGATATTGCTACCCTGTAGGTATAAATTACATGCCTTTATTATAATTATCAAAACACAACGTATAACGCTTTTATGGGAGAAAACGTCAATAAATAAATATTAAACACTCTTCATTGACAGCTTCCGTGTTGAAAAATATACTTCTTACTGTCTAGTGGCGGTAGTCGGACTGCTTGCTGACTCAACGCACAATGGGACTTGTGCTTGAGGGGTGTTGATTTTCAACGCGGGGCGGGAGACGCGTGAATAGAAGCAACGCCCGTCCACCTTCCCACGCTCAGAGTCGGGAGGGAGGGAGGGAGTGCGGGAGGGAATGAATACCCCCACGGCCTGCGCTAAGAGAGACAAGGCCGAAGTCTCCGCTGGCAGCTGAAGCCCCTCCCCTTCAATGCCCGGCTGCCACGACTGAATTGCGTGACACGGGGTTAGACAATTTAAACGTGCTTGCAGATGCATTCGTTTTATGAAGCGACTCTCGGCCAATTGCAGTAAATTCACAGGAATTTCGATTTTTAAAGATTTTTCCCCCTGCAGGACATGAAAAACTATTCCGTTTCTGCGTTGGAGAGGTTATGTTTTAAGTGTGCAAAATGCCATTTAACTTCACAAGCCACAGACATTTTTCGGTTAAAGCAGGTTTCAGGCTTCTACAAGTTCCGGTTTAGACAGATCTTACTGTACTACCTTTCCCATTAATCATTCAACGTCTGTCATCCCACCTTCCTTAGTACCCGTCACTGCAATACTTCCTTCGACCACGCATTCAAAAAACAATGAGATAAATAAATAGCAACTATGATGAAAAGACATAAGTAAGCTACTGCGCATCGTAACCGACTTCAACCAATGTGTTTCAGGCACCATTTTGCGTCGCAATTTAGCGAGAATTTTAAAAGCAGAAAGATACCAAAATTATGACCTTGTGATAGAAACATATCAGGGGCGTCCAACTTGCAAAACCTCACGGGCACAACTGAAACCTTAATTATGATTGCGGGCCACAATTTCATTACTCTGACGATTCACACCTGACTTTCCTGTTTGGATATCGGCACTTCGCCCGGCTGCTCTGAAACGAGGGATGGAACGACGCAGTATATCAGGAAGTTCCATCCCTCCTGAAACACATTGGGATAGCTTTGAATTTCTGAATTTACTAAACAATTCCCTTCGACCTAAACTTAACCTATTTTTTCCTTAAAGAAAACGTTGACTCAGGCGTGTGCTAGCGCACAATGTTCTTACCCCATTTTGATTAAAATAATATTTTGCGGGCCACAATAGTAGCACCGCGGGCCGCATGCGTCCAGCAGTTGGAGCCCTGAGATGTATGAAGCAGTTTTGTTTTTGTTTTAATTTGTTGCTACTTCCATTATCGCGATGCGTTTCCAAGCCCCGGAGGGCGTTGGGCGTTTAGCGCTTTCACAATAATCCTCCACATCCGTCATCCTGTCTTATCCGTCACGTCGCAGTCACTTGTCAAGAGGACCGCCCAGTAGCATCTCCGCGTACGCGCCCCTGTCACTACTCAGCGGCCAGAATTGGGAAGAAATTAAGATTGGGCTAGGGTTTAGGGCACTCCACAGGGGTTGGACTGGCCCCTGTGAAGCGTGCAATCATCATGGTTTATCGTAGCAAACTTCACAGGAGGTTCTACGGGAATCGAACCCGGAAAGGCAAGCGACTTCGCCACGAGAGCATCTCATTTCTTTTAAATATTGCAACTTTTACACCTTCGTTTAATGTTTGGCTGGCAACTGACTGAAAATTCTCACTTTACGTCACTTCGAAAATGTTTCTCAACACTACTCGTTTCCATGCAGCAGGGCGGCCACCATCCATACTCCGATTTAAACATAATGACGCGTCAGTCCCCAAGCTGACAGAAGAGAGGGATATTGTCATCCAATAGGGAGCTCCAGTGTCAACAATTAAAGACATAACGAAGCTCCTGAATGGATGACAGTATCTCCCGCCCCGTCCAGCTCGTGTCCTTGAAAGCCACTGTGTTTAAATCGGAGTATTATCTGGCTTTTCAAACAAAGTGCCCTTGCTATGGTATGTGGTTAATGACGCAACTGTCTTTATACTACGTATATTACTCCATATGAGTCATTACACGTCATAACACCCACAAATTAGTGATGATATAGAATGGACCGGACTTTCCCGTATTATTTTTCTATTTCCTTTGGTGTCGGCTAGCTATACGAACTTGCCACATACTCTTGCCAGCTGCCATTTATCAAATTCCAAAGTACATTTTTTGAAATTTTCTTAATTTTTGGGTCTCCTAATTGCAGAGCGTAAATATTATTTTAGAATTATTAATACAGAAAAACCTCGTTCTAAACGGCAATTTTCGTTGAAAAAATAAACTGTAAATTCGAAATTTGAAGCTCTTTTTCACATAAAAGTTTTAAGTTTTCGGAAAACTATTAGAAGTACTTTAACTCACAAATGCAACAGTGTTTACAAATTGCTTCAAATGTGCATATCAACGGTGTGAGAGATCTTAAAAAATTAACTTTTGTGTCATTTTTGGAACAAAAATACTCGAAATGCACTTCACGTCATATTAAAGAGTGCAATTAGTACTATCCTTTCGAAAAGTTTGAAATAAATTGGAGCCGTTTCTGAGAAAATGGCGTTTGAGCGGTTGAGCTTTCGAAAAGCTTAACCTGACATTATTTCAAGAACATGTACTCCCTACATACCAAAAGTGTAAAGAAAAAAATGGAGGGTTTTTGAGCAAATCTTGTTTTTGTAGTTCTTTAAAATTGCAACTATTGCATGCAATATTGCGCAAAAACTATCAGAAGTTTTAAAAAAATGTACATGACCTAAATGAAAGAACCAATTATGGAAAATAAATTTAATTTGAACGAAAAATCTCCATCTTCAATTGTACGATTGTAGAAAGACGCCGAAAAAATTAAAACTTTTGCAATTATCGAAAATAATTTTTTGAGAAAATTTTGAAAATGGCCACGGGGATTCATGTAAAGTACCCCTAAAATTTAAAGAATGTTTTTTTTTCAAAATCTCAAAGCTTTGACTCGAGCTAAATTTGGGAAATTATCTTACGCATGATTTAGGCGCTAGTTACACACGGACGGACAGAAGTTTTGGGGCCATCAATAAATTAGTGAGACATTAAGGAGGAGATCAAGACGAATATCACCTAATTTACGTGGGGGAGAGGGGGGAGGTCGATGTATCCGTTCAAGAAAATCAAGAAAATTTTTGGAGTGAAACATTTTTGAGAAAATGTTTTTTACAAATTGTATTAACTTTACACAGAAATTACGTGAAAATTACTCATTTTTTCTAAAACGTCTATCACCAAATCCCACGATCTTATATTTTAGAACAGATTTCATTTGACACACAAATGTCCATCTTCAAATACTGTAATTTTGGCATGACACTTCTTTTTGAAAATTTAGAAAATTTGCAAAAAAAGTGATCATCACCACGTCCTTTTTAAAGAGTTTTTACCTTGAGAAAAAATTTGGACCTAGTTTTAAGAAAGTTTTGAACATGTTGAGGCTTCCTGTAACGCAACCGAAAATCAAAATACCCTTTTCAAACTTGCAGGACCTTAGAGTTCGTTTTGATTGATCGAGGAATATCAATTTTGGAGAGATATTATATGAAGGATTTAGGCGCAAGTGCTGATGCTCGTCCGTCAATTTTTTTGGTATCAAGAACCCACTAAGCATGGATTTCGATTACACATTTTCGAGAAAGTAATTTACCACACACAGATGAACTAGATTAATCTTCTTTATTTAGCAGATCCTGATATGAGATTTTCTGTCGAAAAATTGCCTATTTCCGGCGCACAATTACAATTTATTTATGTAATGTCGAACAGTCAAAAACAGTGTAATGTACTTTTGGCAGAAGTGCAATCTGTGCACGGTTTCATCACGTCTGGTGATCTCGGTTCTAACTAATAGAAGATGTTCCATAAGTAATGCGCTGCATTTAAAAAATCAAATGCATTAGTCAGATAAGTACAGGACTTGAAAGTCTCAAAAGTACGACCGTCGTGTGTCGATACATTTTTGCCAGCTTGATTTCCTTGATGCCTTGCACGCTCCCAGGAAGTAATCTGCGAAGTTCTTCTTAGGGTCCTCGGCTTACTTGCTTCGATGTTGTCCAAAGTCTTGAAATGCGTTCCTTTCATGGCCGTTTTCGGTCAAGGATACAAAAAGGAGTCCTTCGTAGTAAGGTCGGGGCTGCAGGGCGATTGTGGAAGCGTTGTTACACCTGTGGTGGAAATATCACTTTCCATTAAGGCCACACCGGTGCGTGTTAATGCGGGAGATGAGTTTGGTATTAACAGTGGGCGCCGCCCCCAGTCGGTTTCGAGCGGAATATAAGCCCTGATAGATTGCAAATGATGAGTACGATTTCCTATGAAGGTCGCAGTATCGCGTCGTTGTTGAAGACCCATGAAAATTCACCATGGAACTTTGGAATTGACAGCTTCCGAGCACATCTCCCGCAGTATCTGTGATTGCCGCTGTCGTGGTGATTTCCACGGAACGCAGATCTCCTTTCGCATCCTTGTGATCCTGACGGTCAGTCTCAGGAGCCCTTGAACTGCGGGATTACGGTGTTCCAAGCAGGTACGAACATTCGTGCGCGATTGGCTCATGGGGCCTTCTCGAGGCGCGTTTTCGGGTCGTAGTCAAAGATCCATGTCTCATCCTCGGTAATAAGTATCCAAAAACTGACGATGAAACATCTCGCAAGTATCAACCGGTGTCTTGTTCAGCATCACGCGAAACTGACTCGTATCTTTGATCCAAAGTAATCCATTCCTATCGCAAGAACGACCCTACTGCACGGCAGCTCACAAACAAGATCTCCCGTTCTAAACTTCCTATAGTACGATTTATTTAGTCGTGCACTTGGTTTAAATCATCAGTTTCATCCAATCGGGAGCTTATATGTCGCTATAGAGACGTCACTATAGGGACGTTCAAGCTCCCGATTGGATAAATCAGTGAAAACGTAAGCTTCCGCGGCTCGAACCCCTAAATTCTCGGCTACATGTCAGGCGAAATGTCGGCCTCCCAGCCAACGACGCGGCGTCTCCCGGATAGCCGAGAATTTAATACAGTGAACAGCTGATTCACTATACGCGTTAGTTTTCTTGGTAGCGGGTTTTGCGGGGAGAGGAGGGCCCTGGCTACGTCACGGCTTCAAAGGTACCAACTGTGAGCATGAACCTAAGCGTGCTACGAGATTGTTTTGAAAGTACGAGGTGGTTGTTGCCAGCAGCAGGTACGTGCCGTTCCGAGTCGATCTTAAGTATCTCAACGTGCCGTGCTATTCAGCGCTGGATGAGGACTAGGGAGCTCGTGTATCAAGAAAACTTGCGCGAGTAATACGTCAAGTGCTGTGTTAAATAAATCCTAGTATGGGCCACGGAGTCAACTGAGCTATACTTCGATTTTCCTACCATGATGTCTCAAGGTCAATCATGAAAAAGGGAGAGGGAAGGCAGACTCCAATAGGGAGCTGCAACGTCGCTACAGTTCTCACTTTCACGGCCACCTTTTGGAGCCTGCATACCCTCTCCCTCTTTCGTGCGTGACCCTGAGACGCTAGCGTTGAGCAAAGGAGCTGTTGGAAAGCGAAACCTTCCCGTTACCCTATCCAACCAGTCTGGCCTCTCTGCGACTTACAGACGTGTCAAAAAAAGCAATGCACATAGCAACGAGCGTTTCTGCCAAGAATTTCTATGGAAATATTAGCTCCGGTGTAGTAAAAACTGCAACTGTTAATAGTGTATACTACAGCTTCTGATTGTGATCATTTTCCCTAGACGCGAAGGAATCGACCTACTGCAGCTTGAAAATGGAGAGTGGTTACTTTATTTACTTTCCCTACATTGCTCAAGAAAACATTCACAGATATTGAAGCTACATCTATAACCAGAAGCAAAACAACGGGCCAACTAGGCACTTGCCCAAACTATCGACGAAACTGGAGGAAAATTCTGATCGAAATCGCGGTTATTGACCGACAAGGTGAGGTATAATACTTTTTACAAACATATTTAAACTTTTAGAATGAAACAATCCAATTTTTCACAACAATTCTTTCTCTTCTTACGAAGTAAGACGAGCAAGTAAAAACAGGCGATTTTGGAACTCAACCCGAGAGTGATACATGGAAATAATCTGAATATGAGTGTTGTGATCTGGTGGCGGTTTTTCAATGACAGCAGGGGGTAAGTCCTCTATGGTCGAACTATCTCAGCAATCTATCTTACAACTCAAAACTCAGTTTTTTTCATGCAAGGTTATTCTGATTTACATAAACCAATTCATGGGAAGAGTGTGTGCATATTGTCTCCTGTTCCCAAGGTGATTGTGACATCAAACTTTCAAATTACTTCCATAATAAGCAAATGAAAAGAAAACTGTTTCAAAGTACTTCTCCATTTCAAATGAACAATTGTACACTCTATTAAATAAGAACAATGTGCTATTGACAAATGTTAAGGCAACACACTGTTGGGTCCATTATTCCAGTCGAACCACCACTGAAATATCAAGGTAAATTAATTCAATACAAAATTACACAAGTTTGAGTGCAAAGTAAAATAAATTTTACTACATGACTGTTTCTATACAATTTGAGCCTATACCAAGCATCAAAAAGGAAAATAATATTAATTTATCAACAATATTTAATGTATTAATTGACATTTGGGCTGTGTAATTCTCAAGTATTGTACCTAGGTGTCTGGGCCAATGACACTGGATGTGAGGTTTTTCAGCCAGTTTCCCAGATTCTTTGAGCAACTCTTGTGATGGCTCCTTGTTATGCTTCTGCAGATACAATGTAGCGTCACTATCAATGCATATTCTGTAGTCCTCGGTACAAATTCTAATATTTGTTCTCATTTTCTCATTCAGTAAGTCGAATCTTTCACCTAGAACACTAGGGATAATAGCCAAAATCCTGTACTTGATTTGTCTTTGCATAGACTTTTATTACAAGGGATATATTAATATTTTCATACTTAATCTTGCCCAACTGCTCATTGCTACCAGTACTCAAAATTCAACTTAATATGTAGCACATGAGTTACAACAGATTCCATAGCTCAAGAAATCAAAATTGCACTTCTCCCCACCGTATGCAACAGTTTTAAATTTTTTTACTTTTAAAACATTAAGTAAATAAAAAGAAAGATATCAGCAAAATAAATGTAATTATAAACAGATTTGCAGAAAATTAATGTAATGGCACAGGTTACCAATACCATTCAAAATTAATAAAAGACAAGTAAGATTAAATGGAAGAAAAACTTAATATCTTAAAAACATGGCAATCTCACTAAAGAATGGAATCTATTTGATTGAACATAATAATTTTTGTAAATCAAATAGCACTATAAACAGATATAGAAGTAAATCTGCTTTGAGCTTGAATACAACTTCATTCTTACCATTGCCGTGAAGAAGGCAGCATGTAAAGGTTTCTCTGCATATCGCTCATACTGATCAAGATTATCTTGCAACTTCAAAGTTAGACTATCATAGTTTTTCCTCACCACCTCAAGTATCTAAAAACAAATAAATTTATAATAACTTGAATCAAAATAAACAATTTTGCAATAAATTGTGACTATTTAACACACCTGTTCTTCAGAAGGAGTGGATAAACTTTGACTAGCCAACCATGTTTCAATCTTTGGAGAGAAATGATTAATAATTGCTCTGCACAAAAAGTTACAAAAATTAATACAAATTAATTCCAACATTAAATACATTTCAATTAAATGAAATAATTCTAAAATACTTTGAAATGTCTTTATCACCTGACATTAATTAAACTGTTAGTGAGTCTTAGAGCATGATCTTTAAATTCACCATCACTGGTAGAGTATCGAAGTGCTGGAGAAGAATAAATCCACAATTAGTCTAACTCTTCAAATCTTACTTAAAAAAATGCTACTAATAATACTAACCCATTGAATATAAATTTTCAAAAACCTGGTGCATTCTTATTAACTCATAATAAAGCTCATCATAACTTCCAGGAGAAGGTAGGAATGTATCACCATACGTGATGAACAAATTGAAGATATTAATTACCTACAAACAGATATTGAAATATATTTAAGAAAAAAATATTTACTATTATAAATTATGTTCACAGAAGAAAAAAAATTCTACCTGCAATGCAAGATTGAAAATATTCATTTTCTTTGCTAAATGATTTTCATTTGCAAGAAGGAATTTCAGCAACGTGATGAGTGCTGTCCATAATTCCTTCCACTGATAATTCAATCGGACACGGCAACGTTTCTGATAGCACAACACCCTATGAATAACACCAACACAATACAAATACAATTCCATTGGTAGTTTCTTCATCATATGACTCATTATAAATTCTACCAAAAGATCTGAAAAATATAATATCTTCATTACAAAACTACTCAATTGAATTTGAAAATAAAAAACGTAAGACTAAATTATAATTTATGTTTCTTTTTACCCAAAAGGGTGGATGCCAAAGGTTGAGATGGGCTTGCTTTGTCAGGTGCAAGCTTTCTGTGACGCATAGGCAATCGGTGAAGTTGAACTTTAAAAACAAGATTGACATCATGCATTAATGAGTTGGCATACTGGTCTTCAGATATACATGTCAATATCAAAAAACAGAGTTTTACGTTGTTTACACTGGCTTCAGATTTTGTATCTTGCATTACAATAGAACTGTAAAGGAAAGAAATAGAAACCAAATTAAAATGTATTTGAATACCAAAGGGATTTTTTTCACACTTAATTGAACAAATAAAATTACAAGCTAGGAACAAAATCAAATGTGTATAATTTCAAGCTATTCATTAACTTAACTAAAAGAAACAATCATTATTCATTTACAAAATCTTTGTATTTAAAATTTCAGAAACACAAAAACATTGATAAGCTTACCAATACTGAAAGAAAGTTACAAGCAGATTGGAAGGTTGTGCAAAAATATCAACAGCTGGGGGAACTGATAAATCAGGAGTTGGCTGATTTGAATTTAGAGTGTTGCTAGGAGATGGTGGTGTGCTTGTATCTGTCTGAGTATGTGCCAATGTAGTAATAAAATTGCGATTTAAATGAACAGCTTCATAAAGTGCCACTAAAAGAGCGTTATTTGCCCTGAAATGAAAAAAGTAAACAAATATAGATATATAATTTAATATAATATAAGATAATTCAAAACCCATAGAGTAAAAGATCTAATAATACCCACAATGAAACTTCATAAAAATTTATTTCATTCTTTCTGAATAAACTATAAAAAACAAATGAGAAGATGGATTTGAAATTCATTATATATAAAACCATAAAATTAGAATACTAGAAATTACAAAATATAAATATTGATATGATACAAGTTAATGTAAGATATATACGATATAAAGCTCAACAACCATACATATATACATATGCAATAGATAATAAATATTCTCTAACTACAGTATTCATTAATGTTAAGAACAGAATTACATAAATCTGAGGATGTCCTAAAATCTTTTACATTAAAGGAATATAATGATAAAACATTACCGAATTTGTTGTGTTCGAACACCCCCTTCTTCAGACACAAATATGTTTCCAACTATATTTGTAATAGATGATAACCAACTACCAGATTGTGGCTCAGCATGCTGAGCAGCAAACTGTCTGCAGAAATCAGTGAGGCATGATGTGATGACCTGTGAATTAAATTACTTTCAAAATGCAGTAGACCTGAGAGTAGATATGAAATTTGAAAAAAAAAAAATTCTATTGAATTTTGATGGATAGTTCCAATTGTTTACAATACTACTCACTGGAACTGTGCAGGCAGCTTTGTATTTCCTTTGCAGGTCAAAATCTTAACATAAAAATGGAGCAATGTTTGTAAGTGTGTTTGTTCCACTATCTTTTGAACCACTGGAGCAAATGCTGCTCAATCAATGTTGACCAGCCAATATAAACATAGATGTGATGGTGATCCCAAAATATAGATTTATATATTTCTCAGAATTTTGCTTACACCCCAAAATTTGTCAATGGAAACCCATAATACAGGGCATTGTCATGCAGGTCAGGATGAGATCAATCAGGAACCAGCACGGCAAAGGATAAATAAATACTTGAGCAACTCCATGTCACTTCAGGTAGTAAAAAATTGAATTGAAAACATTTCAGTTCACCTCCTCAACAATCAGTTCACCTCCTCAGCGAGATTAAGGCAACTGATGATAAATAGCAACACATCACGTTTAGCTTAAGACAGAGATGTTTCATTATGTGATAAGAGTCATGATAGCCACTGTATACAAGTGAAGAAGGGGGTTCATAACTTTTTTCTTTTTGAAACACCAAGAGATTTCAGTGAAAATTGAGCCTGCACCATTTTTATAAACATCCCTTGTTCTATTTTAGCAAAACGTTTAAAAAAGAATTTGGAGTCATTTTTTGCCAACAATTTTGAAAACAACCTAAGCACTTTATTTAATGAAATAGAAACATGTTTCAAATCTGCATGGCCTTGAATATGGCTACATTGACAATTCTGACTACACTGTACATTTGAGAAAGTAATTTTGTATATATATCGAAGGAAGAAATATCAATTTACTTGGCTATCTGCAATATGCCACATCCTAGACCCAGCTGCTTAGGATGTAGAATGCTTCCAGAATGCCAAGTACAGGAAAACCCCAGTATTTCAAACTAATTGAGGGTGTGGTCTGTTCGAATTCAGAAATGTTCAGATTATCCCAAAAATGTATCGTACATATACAAATACATTACCAGAAAATGCAATGCAGCCTGCAATGTGAGAAAATGGTAACAAAGTGTATCAATTGCATCATCAAGCAGATTCAGTTCTTTATGACAGAAGATAACTGATTTTTCAAGTTCCTCTATGTGAAAATTACTGCTATATAAACCTGTGATATACACTGTAGTTACCAGTGCAATAAACATTTCATTTTGACAACTTATGTTTCAATAATTATTTGTTCAGTTCTAGAGTAATTATAAAATCCTTTCTTTACACTACAAATAAGCCTTTGATTTATTTTGTTTATTTTTCCTTCATCCTGAATTTTGATCAGATTATCCAAAATTTTGGATTTGCAGGGTTTGGATTACCGAAATTCAACTGTAGTTAAGACTCACAGAAGCCTTCACTTTCAAGAAATATGTACATTTTAGTATCAGGGTCCAGCAAAATAAACTTTTGTCAAAAAATTAGAATTTTTTCCGGCAGCGTTACAATACCTTCTCTATATTATGTATACAGTTTTGTGACAGAAGAAGATTTACAAGATTTTTTGAAAGAATAGAGAGTCTTATTGTTTTTAATATAAACTGATAAATTATGTGCAGAATTTGTTTGTTTATTGTTGATGTTGTGCTGAAGATACATAAAAATATTCTGTTATTACCTGACCATAACCATTTAATGCAAGTTCATCATCCAAAATAGAAAGTTTAACTATATAAGGATTAGCAGCTTCGTGTTTACGATAATTCACAAGGAGAGTCAATAACAGAACTGCATCATGACCATGCTGTGTTCTTGTGGAAGGATCACATAAAACCTTCAAAAGAGTAAAATACATGTTTCAGTTTTTCCAAGAATGTCACAAGCACTACAAAAATCTGTAAGAGTTTAGAATCTCACCTGAATTAAAGACTCAAATATGCTATTGATCATAACATATTCCAACAACGTATTCTGACTAACATTTTCTGTGCCTGTAACTAAAACTAGCAATAATTTCAGACACAAAGCTTTCAGACTATCTGGATAATCACCTAAAAATGAACAAAGAACAAAATAACATTGAAAAGTTGCTCTAAAATTTGCTGGTGACTATTGTGAAGATATAAGACTTATCAATTAAATATTTTTGCATTTAAAACAGATATCTCACCAGTTAAGAAGTTATTACAATGATCTAGAAGTTCTTGCATGAGCTTTTCTGCAGATTCAAATCCCATTAAAATATTAATTACATCAAATCCAAATTCCCCTGATGTTTTCTTGTAAATGCTATTTATTAAGGCACAGAGTGTCTGAAAATACACAAAGTTCTTTCAATTTCTTAAGATACATCACACACATTTACTTTCGATAAAAGCTAAGAAATAATACAATATGTGCAAAGGCGAAGAAAACAAAAACAAAGACCAAAACACAGACAAAGAAGTTATTCCCTATCCCCTCTATGTATAACATGCAAAGGAAAAAACCAGTTTTTGTCAGATTTTAAGACACCACCAACACACACACACAGTTAAAGAATTACCTCTCACCATGCATCAATGAGATTCAAAACATAAACATAGAAGATAGCAGATAACAGTATAATTCTGAAATCTGCAACCCACAAGATATGTCTGCAATTTTATTACTGTCCATAACTTGGAAACGATGCATCATAGTGCCTTAAAACTAGGATTAAGTTGTTTATGCATTAACTACAAAATGAGACCTTTTTGGATGTTTTATTATATTTTTGGAATGTCCTCATGCTGTACCACAGATTGCCAGAAATGCTGGAAGTTGGGTTTCAGTGTGATGCTATTTTCACTTTTAAAACAATGGTTTACAAAATCATGTTTTTTGTAAATTACAAAAAAATCTTTTGACCCTTTCTATTACGTGTTTTGGGGTATCCACTCTTCTGGCTTCTCTAAATTTTCAGTATTTGTGATACAGGTGATTCATCCACCAAGGGAGACTCTGCACTCTCCATCCACTATGTAACATTTACACAAGTATTTCACTATAAAAAAACTTGAATTGAACTTTTGAATTTGCAGTTTACTTTTCACAATAATGTGTATGGGAACATGTTTAAAAACATAGGGGGGGAGGTCATAAAAGGAGGAAAGATCAGGAGAGAGGACATAAAAAGCGGAAACATGTCAGAGGTCATAAAAGGGAAACGCTATAGACACGTTCAAATAACCTGCGGAATATGTTCGAAGAGTATGTGAGGAATACAATGAAGGGCAACATATTCCGTTGATTGATTGATTGATTTGTGATTCCAGGTGCAACTTCTAAGGTCATTAGTCTCATAAGTTTAGTGTATATTTTCATCGCAGGAAGTGGCGGTGATATTCTTTCTATGGCTGGTGAGATCTGACACCAACCTACATTGGCTTGCGGGTGCTTTTACCCCAAACGGACATCTTCCACCAATGGAGCACAGCCCCTCTGGGACAAGTTCTAAGCTCCCGACTGGTCTCCTGACAAGTGTGAAGAGATATTGGAGAAACCACACAAAACTACCGATCACAACAGCCAGACTAGAATTCTCCTGTAGTCAGTGGCTGAATTCAATTTTCCTCTCTAGCTAATGTCGAAAATCCTGACACACTCAAACCCTGGAACCTCCTTGTCAGAGGCACTGCAGTGACATCAGTAGTTGCCGTGATGCACCGTTGCAACGCCTGAGCATGTGCTGAAAGTGTGTAGGGAATGAGTGGGGGAACATGCAGGTAACAATTTGTGTGTGAGAGGGGGGAATAGAGCCAGAGTTGTTCTTTAAGCTGTTTTATTATACAAATGAGACCCCTTGTACCTGCTCTTACATTTCAAAAAATTTAGCTCCTATGGGTACCTCCACTCAGAAGCATGCATGGGAGGTGAGAATTAAGTAAAACTTAGAAGTCTATATAAATTTAAATCAACAAGTCAATAGGCCTGTCATGACAGGCTTCAGGCTTATAAAACTTTAACCTATATATCATGGGCAGGTCCTCTGATGATGGGATCCAGTATGAAACAATTTTCACTTTTAAAACCTTGACGTGGAATGTTCATTCAAGCCCAGTTAGAATATTATATGAATTAATACTGAACACTCCCTCCACACATGCATACCTCAAATTTCACATATATGTTTTTGAAATAGCAAATGAATGCAAAGCACGTCATTAAGAGGAAAATAAATACCAAATGACCAGATTCAGAAGTAAAAATAGATATTTTAAAAACTAGGGTAGCAATCAAGCAGCAGGAAATTTGGCATATCCATGCCTCAACGAGAAGCACAAAGGCCACTGTGTACCATCATATTACACTTACGAGGCACACACTCTACAAGAAAACAATTTGCAACAAATTACAGTAAAATCTGACTAAGCCGTAATCAATCAAGACAAAAAAATCTGGTTTGGGGAGGTTTCTATTTTATGACATTATGATATTGACATTTCTGCTCTGAAAGTATGTGACTTTATTATAATTATCAAAATACATTAAGATATAACTATAAGAACTGACCAATAAATGAATATTAAACACTTCACTGACAGCTTCTGAGTTGAAAAATACACGCCTTACTGCTTGCTGACTCAATAGACAATGAGTCACAACCCAGTACTATGACTTTCTGGTATCAACTCAAGGGGTTATGATTTTCAATGCTGGGCAGGGAGTTGTGTGAACAGAGGCCGTGCCTTCCCATGTACGAGAGTCTGGAAAGGAGGAGTTCCCCCATGCCTGTGCCTTGAGAGGCAAGTGATCTCAGGGTCAAATTCTACGCTGTCAGCTGAAGCCCCTCTCCTCTCCTCTAACGACCAGCTGCCACGAGTAAATTGGGTTTCACAGTGATCATTTAAAACAAACTTACATATGCATTAATTGCATTAAGAACATTTTGCAACTTTCTACAAATTACATTTAATTCACAGCAATTCTGTTTTACAAATATTTTTGTGCAGGACATGAAAAACCATTCTGTTTCCACATTGAAGAGGTTTTGTTTTATGCTTTGTAAAATGCATGTTTAACTTAATAGGACAGAGAAATTTTCTGGTTAAGGCAGGTTTCTGGCTTGTACCGCTTCCGGTTTACACAGATTGTACTGAACCAATACATCTGAGAAACATAACAGTAATCTGTTTTCTACTGCTTCAAAAACTAACTTAAGCAGTTCCTCTAGTATAAAACATTTTCTACAAAGTACAGGAATTCCTCAACAATTGATTTGGTCAATCTAATTATAGGCATTGCAATAAGATACAGTGTAGATGTAAGACATCAGCCGAGAATTTTCTTTTCACTTGCAAGTCAAGCTTATATATCAAAGATGACATCAACAATTGATATACATTTATATCACTTATATATTTTTTTTATAGTTTTGGATAGATCATAATATTACATTAATTATATGATAAATTATAGCATGATAAAAAGTAAAACTTGTAATACACAAATTAAATTATGTATGACTAAATATTATTAGAGTATTGACTAGTTTGAAAGTATAGTGCAATTGACTTCACTCTGACTTAAAAATAGAAGAAAATTAATTATTAGAACAATAATATCCTATCCTTGAAATGAAGTGTATTCACTTCACAAAGAAAGTTATTATAAACTATTAAAAAATTTTGAACAGATATAATGACAAATTAACATGCGTAATAAAACTATATATATTTATTATGTCCATTCCTTTAGAGAAGACTTGCAAAATATTTTACCTGTAAGGCATAAACTACACGAATATGATGATCATGTCCCAATGTTGTGATACATTGTTTAAATAAGACATTAATATTTTCTTTTAATGACATCAACTGTTCACCAGTGAGCTTCTGTATCTCCGTTTCAAGACTGGATACCTGTTTACAATATTGTTTGAAATAAGTAAAGAGCACACACAATAGAAAGAAACAATATACTCCAAGAAAACCATATGTAACAATGTCCAATCATACTTTAGGTTTCAGTAGAAACAATTCTTCCCAAAAATTGGGATTTCCATATGCTGGATCTTCTCCCTGCCAAAGTATATAAAAGAAAAGATTAATGTTTCAATCCATAATGATATTCTATGACACCTCACTATTTTTGAAACAGAATTTTTGATGAGTATAACATAATTTGTATTATTAATTACAGAACATTTTAAATGTTTTGCCACTTGCTGCTTATTCTCCAGATTTGGTAATAGAAGAAAAACTTTTGAAGAATCAATTGGTGGCTTCACAATTTACTAATGCAGTTTCTTAGATTTTAATTATATTTAAACTACTTAATTATAGAAACAAAAAGATTTTAAGAAAAATACTTTTGATTACAGAACATTATAAACCAATACACTTTAGGAATTATAAAAGATTTTGTTACAACTTTGTGTATGTAGGCAACAAATTTAACTCCTGCAAATTCTTGCTTTCCTTATTTTCGTTAATGTTCGAATCAAAATGTAAATTTCTAATAAAAAATGACAGGGTCCCACAAAAAAAAGGTTATTTCCATTAAAATCTTATCTGTAGTTCAAATTCACATATAGTACAAATTATTACGTGCAACCTTACCTTAAAAAACGATTCGTAAATCTGAACAACTTTTTCCTTCAATTGCCTTTTGGATCCAGATCCACTTCTTTTCCTCGATGTCATCTTCACAGTGAAATGTAAACAAACTGCTGTTGTAATATAAAATGTAAGTCTCTAATGCCACTATCACTTTTTCACTCCTTTACATAGGCAACTTAACACAGGATTTCACCATTTAGCTCTGGCCTGTTGAAATTGCTTCATCAAACAAAACTATATAGTTTTCATAGTACACACCGAAGTACACACATAACCTACAACAACCATCACTATTATCTTTTCAGGTCCTCTGAATGTCACATCAACAATACTCCCCACCCCAAGTGTAAAGTAATTGTGCAGTTTATCCAACTTCCGAACTATACTCCTAGTTTAATTGTGCGCTTTTCAACCCACTCATTTTTGTCCTGAGATCCAATTCTTGTGGCATACGTATCGCATCTGTATGATGCTTCGTAGGGGTAGGGATAGAGTAGAACGGGTGTAGAACCAGGTAGAACTAATCTGACAAGTGATAAGTTAGTTACCGCCGGTTTGCAATGAGAGGGGTAGTGTAGTGCCAAAATCACGCTAATTTAAAGTAAAAACAAGTATTAAAGAAACAAAAGTACGTCAATCGACATCAGCAATTTAACGTTACAGGAATATTAGACCGAAGCCAGACTTGCGAATTAACCGGCATTACTATGAATATATATGAAAGAGCGTAAATATGAAACGAAAAATGTTCTTGACATGTGCGGTAGCAATCATTTTCCCAATAATTCAAGATTAACTGGCTTCATTTTCACAATACGGCTTGATTCGCCGATGCTGTCCATCGACACTCACAAACCGTGATTACTGGTGATTACGTTTTGCGTAATGGCAATGAACGCTCTTATTCATCAGTGTTTGACATTTCAAGGGGATGATCTTAATAGAGTAATGTCATCTATTTCGTAGAATGAAAAAGCTGAGATCAGAGAACATGTTAAGATTTACAAAAGGGAGAATTTCGTGTTCGTAGAAGAATTTTTACTAATATAGAGAAGTACAGTGCGCATAATTAAATCAAAATGTTCAATTTTCGTAGACTACCCGGTATTCTATATCATCGCAGGTACACCACCTTATCATCTATATTATTGACAGTAACGATTTTGTACTACCTTTTGCATTGGGGTATTATGTGTACAAATTTTGAAACATGGCAACACATCAAAAGATTGGTAAGATCCTTGAATAATTTTTCTATTTTTTCCCCTGCATTAGGTATATGAAATATGCATGTTTGATGTATGAATCATTTCCATTTACAAGTTGTCTTGTGATTCTTCAGTGTCATCTTCATCAGAAAGGAGAAGCAGTGGGAAATTTATGTCAACCATTGTGCATTGATAAGAAAATTCACTCTTTCACATGCCATGCCTTTCACGCTGGGAAAGAAGCAGTTTTTTCTGCTAATTGGGAAGGTACACACCTGGTTTTCAAAGCCTCCCGGAGAGTTTGGGCAAATCATTTAGATCCAGTTTATTGGGTAGATAAAGAAGGAAGACAACACTTTCCTTCTGAAGCAGATTTCAATAATATGATTCGTGACATTGTAGCTTCTAAGCTGAACTATTCAATATCCAATGATCAGCTTAAAAGGCTTTCTCGCCTAGGATTCTCCAAGGCTAAGGAAGGCTCACCACAACGACAAGTTGAAATGCAGAATTTATGGGTACTACTTCAAGACAATGAATATTTATGTTCATTACTCTACTCCGATATAGATGTTTTCCCCCAGTTATTGGGGACTTGCGGTGGATTCTTTGCTGTTGAATATCTGGAGCCTGTACATGGAGGTTCAAACATCCTATCGATATCAGATGGTAATGAAGAATGGCCATCAAGGGTTAAACTGGCAATGCTCATGATGGAACTTCTTAGCGAATTAGAGACTAACCTTCCGGAGCCATTCCATTTGTGTGATATGAAAATGAGTCATTTCGGTTTGGTTAAAGGTACACAGAGACTAAAATTTCTTGATCTTGACTCTGCAGTGCCAAGGACAGTAGCAAGCAAAGCAACAGCTGATGGAAGGCACTGCACAAAGCATGAGGAATGTGACTTTTTTGACTGTCGTTCCCTCTGCAATGATAAGACTAAGAAATGTGACTTGCCAGTTACAAATGATAATTATCAAGTGGTTTGTGAAAAAATCTTTCTTGGATGGACATTATCTGGTACTGTTATAATTCCAGGTCTATTAATTTCGCCACATACACCTTCCTCATTAGCTTCCCTTCTTCGCCATTGTGCCCACCCCAATAACAGTCCTCGACAATTTGTGCCAGATGATTTGAAAGTAAAGCTGTACACAAAACTTACAGAACTGGATGAAATATTGCATTTTTAACATATCAGAGAATTTGTGCAACTATTTAAGTTTTAATATTTAAGATTCAGTATTTTATTGGCACAGGAATTTATGATAAATAGAAATTGCAAAATATATTCAAACATTTGTAAATTGCTACAAATCATACTTGGAGGGGAGATTCCACTTATCCTCCACTCTCGTTCACCAGCATAGTTTTGGAGGCTCTATAAAAATAATTTAATTAATACAGTACAAAGGTAACTATTACTGTGACCAATATGATGATTTTGATTTAATATAATTTCATCAAAAACATTTTTCCACACAAAAGTATTAGGGATGAGGGTCAAGACTGGATCTAGAAAAAGAACAATTTTTGTTGTGAATATTCACAGCAGTGTACAGTAACTTCGGGATTTCCAGAGAGCACTAAGAGAAACAAAGTATTTCTAAACAATTAATTCCCCCCTTTTTTCTTTTTAATAACATATTAAGACAAATGATATTTGGGGTGAAGGTCAAGATTGGATTTAGAAGAAAATATCAATTTTTGCTGTGAATATTCACAATAGTGTTATATTACTTTGAGATTTGCTAAGAGCACCATCAGAAACAAAGCATGTTTAATTTAGTACTATTTGGATCACCAAGAAGTTAAAAAGAAAAACGGAAGTGTGTTTCACCAAAGTACAATTGACTTAGTTCAATGTTGAGTGCATTTTTACTATGCTAATTTGCAACAAATTTTAGGTTGTAAGTTTAATAGCATTCCTCAAAGAAAGAGTTGTGAATTACAATTTGCTCAAAATCCCCAATGTTATGAAGGGTAGTAAGCCTGTGGAAAGAAAATAGAATTATTTTATTCAAATTAATTTTTATTCATTTGAATATGTAGCAATTACTAACTACATAAACACTAGTCAAATTAGAGTACAAAGAGTCATTTTGTCATGAATTGTGATGTCTAACTTGACCTAACCTCGACTTTTGTTTTTGGGCAGCTACTTACTACTTTGTTGATTGAAGTAATTTTCAATAGTTATTTCATGCTGTTAAAGTAGCTCAGCCTGAAGCAATATCAGTCAACAAAACACTAATTAAATCAAGAAAATTTTAAAATTTATTAACGAAAGGAATTTATATCAACTTTTTTGTTTAAAAGGAGATAATTTTATTCTTAAAATAAAAAAACTTCCCTAGAATATAAGTAATTTCCAACAAATTTGATTTTCAAGTGTAAAATAACAATTCAATTTCTTCAGACAACACAAAATTGGAAATTTCCCAGATTTTTCACATCTACTGATACCCTAACCTTAGTGTATCGAGCCTATATTATGAATGCTGATGCAGTCAAAAAGAAGTATTGCCATACTGTTTTCTCAATATTTGTCAAAATAAAATAGAAAATTTCAGCAAGATACAAGGTGTTCTGATCTGACCAAGATCAAACTAATACTCTAATTATTTTTTTTTTTTAATTTTCAAATTATATTACAGACTTACACTTACAATTTTTAAACAGCAAAATAAAATGTAGGAATAATGCTACTAAAAAAAATGACAAAAGGAGATTCAGAAATGCAAATTAAACAGGAAAGTAGCTAGTAGCCCCTATTTTCTACCAAGTATAAGGGGATTTGTAGTGTAAGAGAACTCCATGTTATATTCAGAGCTGTCCAACTAGTGAACTTGACATAACTTCATAAAGTTTGCTAGATTTATGTTAAAGCTTGTATTATAGGTAATGGAAACTACGATTAAGGTGAAAAATGTGTTCAAGTACATTCAATAAGGGATAAGGATGAGGCACAATATTGAAGTATGTAGAGGCCAGAAACAAATAACACGAGGCTAAACATTGGACAAGTTGTGGCGGTTACAGCGAGAAAAAATAAATTAATTTGCAGCTGGAATGAAGTCCCAAAGGAAAGGAAGATTATTCAAAATCTGACCAAAGTTGAAATCAAGACAGCCAAACTGGGAAAATCAAATTCTAAGAATACAAAATTATTTATGTACTAATCAATTCCCTGACATTATTTTTAAATATTGCCAGAAGACCACTTTCCTTCAGAAATTTTGACATTACATTTTTGCACATATTTTCCCTCGTTTTTCAATGAAATTAAAGATATGTTCAGATGCACAATGTAACTGAAATATCAGTAAAAAAGCTAATTTAATTCAAAATCTTTAATTTCCTTGCGAAGACAGTGTCAGCTCCTGTAATCCAATGACAAAATTCACAGCTCTTTCAATAGAATCAGTATTCATGGCATCTAAAAATGTTTCAAAGAAAAGTTACCATAAGTATTTTATGTCTAGTCATTTAATAATTTTATTCAACAAAGTACAATATGGTAATACTCAAAAGATGATTGGTCATTCCTATTTAGTTTGTGATTAAGATTATAAAATACATAAAATTTCCTGCCTGTTAACAAGAAAAACAATAAATACAAATAAACCATTCAAATACTTATTATTTTTATTCCCCCCAATTTCTCTTAGTCTAAGACAATGTATTATGCTGAAACATGCATTTAAGAATGTTATTTCGCGAATCTGAAAATAATAATCTAACCAGGAAAATGCACTAGTATGATAAGGGAGCCAATATATTAAAATAGTTAAGAACCCTTATGACAGAAGAATCACAACTTTTCATTCACAATTGACACAGAATTTCCTTGTAATAAACTAAGAAATAAAAATATCTATTCTTCCCAACTATTCCAGATGAAAGGCAATACATTACAAGATGTTGAAAGTCACACCGTAAGTAAATATAAATGTTTGGTATTTATACAAATGACTGAACACAGTCAACTGCTTTGCCTCGGCTATACACATTAAATGAATTTTTTTTTTCCTTCCTAAGACTGACCATCTGCCCAAAGTCAACTTCAAAATTCATTGCCATTTTTCAATTTTATCAATGAACACTTCTATTAGGTATCATTTATAGACAAAATTCCAGGAAACTATCTCCTTTACCATTTCAGAGTTAAGTCATGTGTAATTCATGCCTCAATCTGTGGCACAATTTACTAATGACAGCTGCTGTAGTGATAACTTCTGGATTATGTTAATTCAAAAACTTAATTTTATATAAGTGAGACACATTGTGATAATTACAATCATTACTGTTTATAAAACTGTAATTACTCGAACAGTGGTATGACAAAACATCTTTTTGAGGGCACTATCTTGTACATACAACCAGATCTTTCATGAAATGAAGAATTGGTTAAAAGGAGATTAAATTCTATACAACTATTCATGCAAAACAAATTATAGCAATGCACATCTGACTGAATTGTAGTAGTGTGTTGAATGCATTTTATGTGTGTACTTTTATTACACATGAAATCATCTTATATTTTCAACATGCAGGATGTCAATTTTTTTTTCTTGCTTTATTCTAAAAATTCAATATCACACAATTTGATACAATGTCCTCCAGTGTTCTATTCATTTTTAAGACCATCAGATTTCAATTTTTCTTTTTACCAAGAACATTATTAAACCTGTGACCCATGTGAACCCTACAAGCCTGGTAGAAGTACCTCTAGTTTCAATTTTTTTGTTGGTTTGACTATCTGCCATATCAATTTGCAGAAGCTCAGTTTCATGCATTAACTCAAGCCACCTTTTTTCTTTGCTTTTTAAGCCAGTACTGTATTCTTTACCACAAGGTTTTTTGTATTTGTCTATTTTTCAGATGATTCCCATTTAATCAAGTAGTTTTAAAAAGTAATATTTGTTTTTCTGCTTTCATTACTTCTGGCTATAAATACATTCAGAGCATTTTATTTATTTATTATGAAATTATGATTTATACTGTACAAATAAAATCAAAATGATTCCCTTCTTAGGAAGCAGCAGTAAATTCTTTAGAAATTAGAACTTCATAACTTCAATGTTCAAGAATTCTAAAACAGTCAACAAAAAGTTAAAAATGAATAAGCTTAATTTTCAAATAAAGAAAATTAATATAATAACACAAATACAAAATAATGCTTTATAAAATTGTGATTTGCAATTGCTAATCTGCGATAATTGTTTCCATGAAGACTTAATATATTTCTATATTTCTCACAGGGAAATGGAGCATTTTTTGACATTAGATGTAAAATATATCTGCAGAATTACAAGACTATTTTGCTCGGAATTTCAAGAATTCATACCCATACAGCAGTTACTTTTTTAGAAACAGACAGAAACTGGCTTTTGCCTCAAAATTTGTTGTTGCAATATTGAGCTTCCTAATGAAAATTAAAAACTAATATCCACCTTTTCACAACATTCTATCCAACAGCCAACAATGGATGATTAATCACTTCAGAGCTAATGATCCAATTGAAACACGTGTTCACACATGAGGATTTGAGGGATTGTGGTACAAATGCAATAAAAACAAATGGTGTATTAACACTTAAGGTACACTTTGGACTAAAAAATACACCAATTGTAAATTTTTCCACAAATCAATATTAAATATTAGTTACAACCAACCAAAAACACTATTATAGTTTTGAGTTTTTTTCTGCAGCAAGTTTCTCCAACTTTTTCATCACAGCTGTCATATCTGCATCTTTTGCAACTTTAACATAATCAGTCTTCCGAATATGCATGATATCTACCCACCCAGGAACAACTTTCATCAGTAAGCGAATATGCTGCTCCAGTTCACCTGAAAAGCAAACATGAAAAGCATATATAACAACACAATTAATCTCTGAAGTACAACAATTAATTATGAGCAGTTACAGCTGAAAATAAAGACGATAAACATTAATCCAGTGCGATTCATTACCGTTAGAAATAGCTTCTCTGTAACTGTTCGCGAGTTTTTGTAATGTTACTTCAAGATGAAGAACACTTTTTTTCTCTGCAACAAATATGTTACGTAATATTCGTGCAATTTCTGGTAACCGTAACAGTTGTATAGCTTCTCTGTCTTCAGCTGGAGTTCGAGTCATTGCCAATAATGCTTTCGCTGCCTGTTTGGCCCGAACCTGAAGCCCATCAAAACATTAAATTAATATAACAGTTGAAGACTCCATAAAAAATATCTATGAAACTTCAATTTCATCTACTTGTTTTATCAATACATTAAAAATCTATTAGTTTTGTATTTTTAATAATGTTTTTATTTTCCTTATTTTTTACGAAGTTTTGTGCAATCTATTCCATTTTAGTATCTTACAGAGTCGTTGACTGCTTGGAGGGTGCCTAGAATGAGTTATGCTCTGTGCGACATATACACAGCCGTTGGCACCACTCAGGGCTGACAAATCCAACCAAATAAAATTTTGAATTACAATCATTTTTTAATCTCTGCTGCTCAAAAGTATTTTTGCCAAATTTGGGAGTAATTTTTCCAACAGTAAAAGGTTTTAGTAGCACATACAATCTTACATCTACTCAGTTATATATAAGAAATGTAATTTTCATAAATATCTCATGCTCTTTATACTAAAAGTTTTCAGTAATCCTGTCATCTTGTTCTTAATGTGTATTATACAGTCGACTCTGGTTGTAGTGAACTTGGATAAAGTGAACTTAAGTCACTGGTCCAGTTTCACTTACAATAGAAATAAGCATAAGAAGATTCAGTTATAATGAATCTGAACTACGGTTATCAAAAATACAAAGACCTGGAAATTAATTAATAAAGAAAGAAGCGCCTTAGTGCCACAAATTCCAACCCTAGGCAGCTTGAAATAATATCAGCCAAAAGGTTATAATCTTGAAGAAGTCTCCCCAGAGGTGAATGTAGCAGTTTCAAGCTTTATGTTACTGATATTCTGAGGGACCAAAGGGCATTGTATTCTATGTATGCAATAGGAAGCATGCGACTGCAACAGTCCCATGATACCTGTCGCCCACTTGGGAAAGAGATTGGTTTCATTAGCAGCTTGCACCTTGCCACAACTGAAAGGATCTCCTATGTTATTAGGTCAATAAATAGAGCTTTCGAAGAGATGGGCTTCCACCAGTACATGTGGTGTTAGGGTGCCAATACTTCATTTCGAAACTTTGAGACAGTGGTCATACAGGATCAAGTATGGCAAGAGAACGAACTCTTGAGAAGGATCTAGAGAAATTAGTAGTGAAAAATCTATGAGAAGCAAACCAATTGAAAATTATTGATTTTTTAAAGAACTAATAAAGATATTGAAATTTTCAATTCATGCTGTTAATGTATTTTCTGTATATCTACTGATATTAATAAAAACAATCGTGGAGAAATTCTACTTCATTTTGACATTCTCAGATATAGTGAACCTAAAATGTTAGTCCCCAGAAGTTTACCATCACCAGAGTCCACTGTACTCTTGAAAAATCTCTCTATAAACCAGAAATATAGACATACCTTTTCCAGAAGTGCTTTTGGAATACCTCTGAGCAGAGATGAGTCTGAATTACTAGCACTCTTTTTGACTTCTGATGATGAAGTTTCTTCAGACTTTTTTATCTGCTCACTCACCATTTGCAAGGCTTTTTCCATCCGTTCATTGCAACCGAACAATGTCTTAGCTCGATCTGTAAGAAATTACAATTAAACTAGTCTTAAACGAAATAGTCCCTTAAATGCAATGCAAATATTTTGTAGGAAAGTTGGGAGAAACAAAGTATATATTGAGGTGTGAGGAAAGCTTGTGAAATCAAAAAGGAAAGCATAAAAAGATAGTAATACAAAAATAAATGTACAAAAACTATGAATGGATAGAAAGAGTTTAGAACATAAGAGTAGGCAAAGGTGCTACAAAGCAGAAATATGATTAGTAAACAGGGAACAACAGAGAGATGGAGGAAGTGTGGAGAAGAGAGACAAGGGAGGGGAAGAAATGGCAGGAGAATGAATTTATAGGTTTCCAAAACAAACAAATTCATAGGAAATTCAGAGATGATATTATTAATCCCTCTCAGACTCAAGACTTTTGACAATTTTTCTGATCTGTATTCCCAAGAAACTTTATTTAAATTCTACTAATAATGGTTTAAAATTGGTCTTAAGAACCTATTATTAAATACTTATTATCCCAAAGTAGACAACTCGCCTACACAATTGTGTAAGTTAGGCCTTCTGTTATTCATATTGGTACTATTGATTCAGTTAATTTTGGAAAATTAAAACTTGAAAAAAGAAGTTGAGGAATAATGAACTAAAAGCAACATTTTCCAGAATTAAAGTAGTTCCTTATTATTGTTGTTATTATGTGTGTGTGTGTGTGTGAAATAACGTAAAGCAATTTTCTTTCTTTTTGATGCACAAAAACTAGACATTTCTGACAACAAATGTATGTCTTACAGGCAGTTCTTTGCACGACAAGCTCTAGCTCTTGTCAACTAGTCTATCGGTAGCCAATGATCGTATCCATCTGTTCTCTTGTCTGCTTCTGTTCGCTCGCATACACACACACACGTTACTACAATTTCCAACAATCTACACAAATGATGTGTATTGGGCTAAACACGAAGAAAGAACACATTACTTTAAAGGGGAATTGGGTCAAGTGACCCCCAGTGAAAAATTTGTTACCCATTATATGGTGCAAAAATTACGATTTTCGCGTGTGGATAACCATACATTACACAAGAGATGCATACAATACTTTAACTGATTATTATTATTATATACTACTAAATTAATTAAAAATTTCAAAAGTGATTTCATTTACACCATAAATTTAAAAAAAATTACCACTTTTCCATTCATTGTGAAGTGACCTAACCTTCCTTTATAAAAGTTCGTTTAATGTTATAATCATGCATCACACTACAAATATATTAATCCTTAATAGTTTCAGTGTATTTCCATTGATAATTACAGTGTAATTTGTAGAAAAAACATTTTTGCTCAAATTATATTTGTTTGTGCCTATTGTATAGTGGGCTACCAAAAGCCTATGCAACATGAGACCCTACTGCACTCTGTGACTGAACTATTTAGACTTTTTTAGATATAGGTCACTCTTTCTTCTTATCTTAACACTAAATAATTCAATATTTATTTACTTATTTAATAAAACTTGTTTGATTACAGAATGTTTCAATTGACAAACTTTAATTTTGATTGTGAGGGCATCCATGGCCAAAATTTGTATTATCTAGGTTATGCGGGACGAGCCACATCTGTTGTGGAGGCTGAAGTGTCAATATTGAATTGTGTCTGTCATGGTGGCTGATGCATCAGTCAACATAGTGGCCTTCCTCAGAGCGCACTGTACGCAGGACATGTGTACACTCAGGAAGGCAATAGCATGTTGGCTTTCGAATAGCTCAAATAATATGGATGTTAAATTTATCAGTGAAGTATCATCACTTTGAAGAATCAGCATGGGCATACACCAGTACTAGTAGATTATTTCAGGAGCAAAAGATCCTGAAGAAATAGTCTTACAATTTTTTTTAAATGCAAATAACTTAGGGAGCACGGTAGTAATTTTTTGCGGAGGGGGGGGGGGGCGCTAACTGTCAGGTACAACAAATACTATCACGCTTACGCAAATCTGAACAAACCCTATGAATGCTCTTGGGGAAGTTTTCTTTTTCTAAGGTCTCCCTTAGGTTTTTCAATTTAACAGTAGCCTAATTTACAAGAACATAATGAATCTTTGATCATTTAGGCTCAATACCATTATGAACCACAGATGCCCCCCACTCTGCTCCTCTTTTTAATGTAGACAAGCTAACCTTGTTTATTTCCACTCTAATATTTAATGTTTTTCTTTTTTTTATGGCTGGCTCAATAGTGGGACCCCATCACCAAATGGGACTCTTGCGAGCCACAATTTCATTTTCGTGGGTGGATAGAATTGCCCATAAGAAATTGCAACAGTGAAAGTATTACGCAAGGAGTTCTTTCCTGTGCATTTGAATCATTGAAATAACAATCCAAGAAATGAAAAAACAGGAATTTCTTTCTGAAAAATATTATCTCAATTAATTTCTCTCATGACCATATTTTCTCTTTTTATTCTTAAATTTATCTTTACTTACAAACTAATAATATTACTTGATCTTCATAGATGTTCATATACTATGTCTATTGATCAGTTTGTCATTTCCCTTCGCAAGTCCTTTGCCTACTTGAACGACGATTGTAGGTGCTTCACCTCAAGCCATCGGCAATGAGACACAACGCTGACCTCCATTGATCTTCTCTTCAATAAACATCTTTACAACGATGCTTTGTTATTGAACTCAGATAATCCATCACATTAGTTTTTTTTAAACAGTTATTAACATACCATGGTATAATAAATTCATAAAATTTCACTAGTTTAAATTTTTCTGTATATATATCTAATTTATTTTTTAAATCATGCGTTTCTCATAAACTTAAACTTTATAATAATAAAAAAATGCAGTTATAGATCTCGGAGGATAGATTTTAAATATGGTATATACAATATGACACTGACTACGGTAAATATTAAGAAAGACCTCACAGTGACCTCTGATCATAAACTCACTTTCAAACGACATATTGAGTATGTAATTTGTCTTGCTAATAAGGCTTTTTAATTAGATTGATGTGTAAAATTAAATCAGAGACAGTCCTTCAAATCTTATTTGGCTCGTCGGGTAAAAATTAGAATAGTGTCTGATCTAGTCCCCAGACAAGACGTGAATAATATCAAAGATTTTAAAAATATTTAGAATTTCGTTATGGTGGTATATACCCACAGAGGGGAATCGATAATATTTACCTATTCAATAAATAGAATTGACAAAGTTTAACTGTTGGAAGGCAATTTCAATGATTGTCATTCTGATTAAAATTATTAAAGAGATTTTGTTTGTTCTTGTATATTTTTGAACAGGTGTCATTTTTGGTTCTTTACTATCCATCCAGGACATATCTGTTATACAACCCTATTACTAACAGTTGCTTTATTTATAAATCCAAATTTTATAAATTTACTTCAGTGTTATATAAGATAAGTGCTACATATGACATATTAATTTACTCTCAATTAAATCTTTATTTGCAAAAGCATTGGAGTATGTTAGTGCTATCAATTATATGTAACTTAAGGGTCACAGTAACATAAATTCTGTAATGGGTTATATTTTAAGTCATACCCACATGGCTAGTAACTTGGCACGGGGGCGGCCAAACTAATAACACACGAATATATACCTTACCAAAAATGGCTAAAACAACCCATGGGGATGATGAATTCTCTTGGGAAATTTCTTTTTCACTGTCCCCCTTTCTGTTTCACATTTCACACTAGGGCCCTAATTTACAGAACAAATAATCCCCTTGATCAAATCAGGCTCATCAGATACACCCATAACCACACGAATGCCCACCCACCTCCTGCTCTCCCTTTTTTACATTGTAAGAACAACAATCCCTCTTCTATTTCCACTCTAATATTAACTTTTTTCTGTTTTTCTAGGGCTCAATAGTGGAATACCCCATTCACATATCAATGGACCTCTGAGCCACAATACATTTTCGCTCTGATAAGAAGTGCCCATATACAAAGAAAGTTGCAAACACAACGTTAAAGGATTGCACCAAGTTACGTCTTTCCCATGATCCATGGAATCATTGCAAACAATAAAACAATCCAAAAAAATGAAAAAAAAACAGGAATTTCTAAACTACTTCTGAAAAAAAATTTATTCTCAATAATAAATTTCTCTCACATTACCAATATTTCTCCTTAAATTCCATAAAAAATCTTATCCTTATACTACAAAAAACTCACTAATACTACTATGACTCATCATAGACTCTTTCATTATACTATGTTTACATTGAATTTTCGTTTATTCCCCTTCGCCAACCTTCGTGCCTACTTGAAACGCGATTAAAAGGGGCGCTCACCTCCAAACCATCGAATTCGAGGACCAACAAGACCGCGACCCCACTTATTTTCCTCAATAAAACAATTCTTTACAGACGAGGCTGGCTTGTTACTGTGAAACCTCAAATAAAGTCAGCACATCAGGTTTTTAAAAACCAAGTTACATTAACAATTACCAAGCTATAACAACAATTCATACTAAAATTTCACTAGTTTAAGATTTCTGAATTAGATATCTTAATTATTTTCTTATTTTTTAGCATGCTTCCATACTACAAAACCACAAAACTTTATAATAATAAAAAAAAATTCAGCAGTATAGATCGGATAGATTAAACAATATACATACTTACAATATGACACCTGACTAACGTAAATTAAGAAAAACCTTCACCCATGCACCTTCATCGATCATAAATCAACTTTCAAGAACCGACCATATGTATATTAAACTTTCTTCGCTAATAACTTTTTTTTAAATTGATGATTTGTAAAAATTAAAATCAGGGAGGAAAAGTCCTTCAAATCTATTTCATCGCACGGGTAAACATCCTAAATAGGTCTGAATCTAGCCCAGACAAACAAGACACGTGGAATAATATCAACATTAAAACATAAAATTCTTTATCCACGCCCACACAGCCCTCCATATTCTATACCCACACACGGAAAATCAAATATTTAACTAATACATAAAATATATTGACCAAAAGTCTCTACTGGTTTGAATGCAATTCCCCAATGACGCTGTCTTCTATTAAAATATTAAAAACTTCAGGTTTCTCTTGTATATTACTCGAAACAGCTTCATTTTTTTTCTTCCTTAATCCACATCCAGACATATCCAACTGTTAACACCCTATTTAAAAACTCTTATTTTAAAGTCAAAATTTAAATATACTTAGTTACATTTAAGATCAATGCTACATCATAACATAATTGATTTACCTTTCTAAGAAATCTTATTTCCCCAAAAAGCACTGAAGTTAAGCGATGCATAGATATGACACTTAAGTCACCAGAAAACATAAAATCCGGGAAGGTCACAATTTTTAACAAAAGAAGACACGAGCACAGAAAAGAAAAGAAAGACGAGAACAGACAACCACCGGAAAACAAGACGACAGAAAGAGACAAGACCAAGCTTAACGGAGAGAGAAAAAAGAGAGAAGAAAGACACCCAGGACGATGCCGCCCCGACAACGAAAGACACAAGAGACCCCAACCGGAACCGGAGAGAGAGAAAGAAGAAACGGAGAGAAAAAGGAGAAGGGGGAGAGGAAACGAAGGACGAGAGAAAGAAAGAAAGCCCAAGCAGCCACACCTACGCCTACGAACGAAGGCACGACGCCCCAGCCACGGCCGACCGGCACCTGCAGCCACGACGCGAACGCACCAGAGCGGGAATCAAAAATGCAAAAGACCCAGAGAGACAATACAAACACCACAGGAGCAGCTTGACAGAAAATAAGCAAAGACGCACGAATAGACGAAGACCAGACAGAACCCGCCCTTGACGACCACAGCCCGACCGCCACGGCTCCAGAGAACAGACCGCCCGCCCGCCAGCGAGACTGACAAAACAAAGAGGGGAAGAAGCAGCGACGCGAAAAAGACGAGACCAGATCCACCAAGCGCGGACCCCGGGAGGGACGCCCAGTACGAGAACCCAGAGCGGAGGAGCAAGAGAAGCGAAGCCCAGAACAAAGCCTGAAGAAGAAGGAAGAAGATACGAGACGAAAAGAAAGAAAAAAAGAGAGCCGAGAACAAACAGATGAGATGCAATAAGGATGAGAGACAAAAGAGAGAAAAAGAAGTAGAGAATAGATGAAGGCACCAGAGACGAAACAGAGTTGAGGAGATACTAAAGAAGACCCGGTAGTGGCCAAATGTCGGAGCAAGGAGCCGAGCGAGAGAAAGGAGAGAGAAACAGGATTGAGAAAAGAAGAAGGACAAAACCCAGAAAGAACAGATCCAAACGAGAGAAAAAGAGAACGAACAAAACACAAAAGACGCGACAACGAGAAAAACAAAACACGAAGAAATGTAGACAAAAGGAAAGACAGAAAAGAGGACGAGAAAGGAACAGGATGAGAAAAGACGAGCAAGCTGAGAGAAAAAAGCGAAGAGAAAATGAAAGAGAGAAGAGAAAATCAAAATCTGTATTCCTTTTCAAAAGAGAACTTAGGTTTCCTGAGGTAGATGCCCACACACCCACAACAAGTCTTTCACAAAGCATTACTTTATTTAGTCTCAAAAAACAGTTAATACGTATAATTGAAAATAGATACTTTACATAAAAAAAAAACAAAAAGAAAAAAAAGAAGAAGCAAAAAGAAGGTAAAAAGAAACAATCCACCACAAGCACTCTCACAGAATTAAAAATTATTTTCAAAATGCACCATAGTGTAATACTTTCACTCCAACAAAAACACCTTACTTACTACAACAAACACCCAATAATAATAACTA